TGATGAAATTTTAGGACAGGTGTTTTTTTTTTTTTTTTTTTTCTCCTTAATGAAAAAAAATTTTGGCAAAACATGCCTTCATGTCTGCAATAAGACAGTGTCAAAACAACAGTTCTTACCATGTCTTTACTTTTTTTTAACTAACTTCACTTCTCAGCAATGTTTATTGTTTTAAAAAGCAATGATTAGAATTGGAATAAAAGCTAAACATATGAAAATGAATTTATACATTTTTGGGGGGTTCTTCAGAATTTACAACAAAAATATTAAACACCATTTATTTATTAGATTGTTTATTTACAAGAATAATTTTATATTACAACAATTAGAATTAATGCCACGCAATATTTACCAATTTATAAAGAAATAAATATGAAAACAATTTTTATTCATAAATTTATAAACATTTACTGAATTAATAAAATATGACCAACTATAAGGAAATCGTAAAGTTCAAATCGATTGGTAATTAGATTAGCTGATATTTTGTCAACCATTCTAATAAACAATAAATAAATGGTATAACATTTTTGTTATCAATTCTCAAGAACAAAAAAAAAGTATAACTTCAGTTACATATTTTTAGGTTTTATTATAATACTAATCACCACATTTTGAATAAATATTGCCGAAGAGTGAAGATCATTAAAATAAAAGCGATGTCATATGAAAACAATTTTCAACATTGTCTTATTCCAGGCACAAAAGTTCATGTTTGCGCAAATTTTAAACTTACAGTTATCTCCCCTACATCGTATCAGTAAACTGGTTTTTGTTCCGCTTTTAGTGACAATGACAGTGGCAGAGATATACACTCTCTGAGTACTTTCTATCATTGTTATTAGTCATATACTTTCACAAGTTAGTAACTACAAGAGCAAAATTCATAGAAATATTTTTTATAATATCAGGTGTCTTTTTTTTTTTTGTGCTAAAGACCTTACATTATTTATATAATCAAAAATTTAAAATAATTATTAAATGATTAGTTGTCTCGTTAGATAGTTTATCAAATAAGAATTAGTTGAATTATTCCCTAATCTTATGAGAATAAATTAATGGTGTCTCATAATAAACAAATTTGTTTTTTTGTTTTTTTTGTTTTGTTTTTTTTTTTACTATTCTTGTTGTTCAAGTTAGGGAATTGGCCAGAAAATTCATTTGATATTAATCACACCAACAATCTTTAAGCCACTATAAAAAATCATGTTGCAAATGTCCTCTTGGATTTTGACCCCAAAACAGCTGCATTCTTCGCAGTCTTTGACTCAAGTGATTGGTTAAAGTTGGAGAGGGATTTAAAAAAAAACATGAATAACAAATGTTCAGAAGTCTCCTTCATTCAATTAAAACTAGGTTAAATTTTTTTGTGTAAACTTCAAATGGGAATTTAAAATTTAAAAATATTTAGACTACTTTGATTTAGAGTTGCTTGCAGGGGTTGGGATTAAGAGACATCTCTTAGGTTGAAGAAACTTAAAATCAATCACAATATTTTTATATCATATTCGAAAAATGATTTATTAGAAAGGATCGGGGTAAGTTGGGTTTTTTGTTTTTCTATCACATTAGAAGTCGTCTGATAAACTGGATTAATGCATGAAAGATTCAGGGGTTTAAAATCATCCCTAAAATGATTATTATTATTTTAAGAAATATTTAAAAATTTTAGTTAAGAGTTTAAAAACTGATAAAACCAATGTCAGAAAGGCCAGGTTATGATTAAAATAAAAGAAAGTTGAGAGAAAACATTTGATTAACAATAGAAAATAGTGTGGAAAAATCAAGAATGAATGGGTGAAAATAATTTAAAAGACAACCACATAAAACTGAAAGTTTCATCAGCAAGGTGGCTAGGATTAATACTCAAACAGTGATAACAATAGTATTGATGGTTGTAAAAAGTATATTTGGGAGGGGGAACCTTGAAAGGCCTGAATCAACAATTATTTTTACCCAATATATGTGAAGAGCCCACAATAAAAGTCCCAGGATGTTTGCATCATCTGTCAATAGACAGATATTAACACAGAAACAATATTTTTTTTTTTTATTGATGACAGGTATTTTTTTTTTTTTTTTTTTTTTTTTTTATCCGTTTTTCATTCATGTTTCAGGGAGAGAGAGAAGACATCACATTCACTGAATGCTGTGGTTCTTCATATCTTTACAGATGCGAATTTCTTTTTCACTTTTTTTCTTGTTCCGTTCTTCAAATTCAAGCCTGAAATTTAAAAAAAAAAAAAAAAAAAAAAAAAGATCTGACATTAGCCTTTGTTGGAATCAAGTTAAATTTAAGTTGGCTTTAGTTGTTCATATTAGGGGGGAGGGGAGTAGAAATTAGATTCCACTACCTGAAAGCAAATAAAAGCAGAGGCAATTGGTAAATATAGCAGAAAAAAAGTCATATACCAATGATTCCATGAAGTTGAAAAAAAAACAAAAAAACATTATCACAGAATTAATTAAATAAAATTGTCTGTTAATAGGACAGCAGAAAGAGAAGATTCTACCCCTGCAGATTAAATAAAGGGCTTATTTTAAAATTCTCCTGCAACAGAATAAATCTGAAACATCATGACTGTTACAACTAAGTAGAAGAGGTATAACTAGTTGGAAACTTCACAAATGTCAACTATTAGAATCTTATAACAAATGTGCTTGTCCTTCCTTTCATTAATTCATACAACTGTTATGACCTGCAAATGCTTCATAAATAACAAACTTCTATTTTGATCATGTGAGATGACAAATGATATCAAAGACACTAATTGATTTCAGTGACAAAATAAAAGAAAGAAAGGAAGATAGAAGTGTTTAATGTCTGTTTCAGTGAAATTTCCATTTCAAGTTGACAATTTCAAATCTTTTTATTTGTACCCACTTACTTAAATTAATAACAAGTATTCATATTTATGGTTGTTATTGCAATATTTTGTTAAAGTTCAAATATTTAATGATGTGATAGGGGAATTTCTATAGACATTTTGTTATCGTAAAACTCGCCATGAGCTTAATCATTAACTGAAGAATTTAGATTCATTAGATAATTCAAATAGGAACACCATGGAATTTTCATGGATTAAAACTAGTATTATTAATTTCACCTAATAATAATAACAACAACACAGAGGCAGTTCCTTAAAAAACAAAAAAAAAAATGTATTTTTGGAAGATAACACTTTTAAGGCGAGCAATCTTTGTAATTAAAGTGCCTGATATCAAGAGTTAAAGCAGTCAGAGGCAAACTTTTCTGAGCAGTGAGTCACATGAGATATGGCCCATTCATCATCATCATCCTTCGACCTCCCTATGGTTGGTCAGAACTCCATTGACAATGCCTTTCCACAATGTTCAATCTTATCTCCAATCTCCAACCCTGAGTCCTGAATCTGGGGAAGTCAATTTTCATGAAATGGCACTTCCAGAAGGATGCCCTAGGAGTAAGGAGGAGACAATTTCCCCCGTACGCTCAGTGGCAGTGGCTGGCAAACTGTAATCATTTTTGTTTGAGCTTAAGAGAGATTAGTCTCAGTTCTCCATAAATTGTGTTAAGTGTTGCATGGGATCTCCAATTGATGTTGTAGATTTGTATATGTTCCATCTAATTGTCTTTGAAGACGAACAAATAATGGCTCATCAGAAGGTGGGCCACATTAAAAATATTCAAGGTAAGTTTTTGTTTAAGTTATCTCAGCTATTTTCACTATATGCAGAAGCATCTTCCTTAGAAATGGGGAAAAGTTGATTTTTTTTTCTTTAGAGAAAAGATTTTTTTCTATCATTAAAAAATTGAAGTCTTGATATAATATTTGGTGCTACTATAGTATGATATGTACTATTCATTTTCTACTGTAGTATGATATTTTCTGTCCATTTTCTACTATAGTATGATATTTACCAACTGTTAGAAGTATGAAATATGTTAGGGTTAAAGGCAGTGAACAGTGAACTGGCTATGTATTAAAACATTACAATTTTTAAAAAAAAAAAAAAAATCATCAAATAGTGATTTTAATGTTTGCAAATGATTTGATGTCATTTAAAAAAAAAAAACAAAAAAACCCAGTAAACAGATCATTTTTCCTGTCATTGTCCAGCAATAATGAGTATCGTCATATACAGTAGGTCACAAATGCCTTGGTAGATATCATACCATAGTAGCACCTAATATTTTTACTGATAACAGTGTGATTAACACTCACTGCCATATGTCATTATATATATATATCTATTTTTTACCTCATACAAAGTGTCAATGCCACTATAACACAGTGTGGTTACAGAGAATGAAAGTGAAAGAAAATAAGACTGAGAATGGAGAGGATTGAGGAAAGGACCAAAAAAAGGAATGGAAGACAGATAGCAACTAATGCTGCATTTAAATTTTTGAAGATTGTAGTTCTCAGGAAAGAAATTGAAAAGGAGAGAGAGGTCACATCTAGCTCGTTCAGCAGTAAAACAGTGAGGTCTAGTTGCCAATTTAGAAGCATACTTAAATTCATGTAGTTGGGACTATCAGAGGAGTTGACATGAAAATAGTTGTAGAAAAGACAGAGGGAAGCCTAGCAATGTCATATGATATTAATATTAGTGCTAGAACAAAGGTGGGCATAGAAGTGCCATATGCCAGAATAAGTATTCACCTAGCAATGATATTTGTATTGGGGTCAGGATAAGTGCACAGCTAGCAATGATATTTTACTAGTGCCAGAATAAGTACACACTTAGTAAGGTCAGATGATATTTGTATTGGGACCAGAATAAGTTCAATTGCAATAGTGAGCGTTAACATCTCCCAAAATTTCTGTGAAAGCAACAAAGAAATAAACCATGAAAAAATGTTCTTAAATGATTGCTGAAATGTTAGTCTAGCCTAGTTATGCAGGGGTTGTTTTTTCGGTTTTTTTTATTTATGAGGTTTTCACTTGACAATGGAGCAAGTCATTGAAGTATAACATACCCAAATATATGTATATATTTTTGCAATTGCAGACAAATTAGTATTGGTTGAGAAAGCAAAAAGAGGGAGGTGAGAGAGAGAGAGAGAGAGAGAGAGAGTGAATAGAGGTAGAAGGAGAAAAAGCAGAAAGTAAAACAAGAAAAACGAAGCGAGACGGAAAGAAAGAAAGAAAGAAAAACGAAGCGAGACGGAAAGAAAGAAAGAAAGAAAAACGAAGCGAGACGGAAAGAAAGAAAAGAAAGAAAAACGAAGCGAGACGGAAAGAAAGAAAGAAAGAAAACGAAGGAGACGGAAAGAAAGAAAGAAAGAAAAACGAAGCGAGACGGAAAGAAAGAAAGAAAGAAAAACGAAGCGAGACGGAAAGAAAGAAAGAAAGAAAAACGAAGCGAGACGGAAAGAAAGAAAGAAAGAAAAACGAAGCGAGACGGAAAGAAAGAAAAAAAAAAAAAGCGACGGAAAGAAAGAAAAAAGAAAAAATGAAGCGAGACGGAAAGAAAGAAAAAAAAGAAAAACGAAGCGAGAAAAGAAAAAAAAAAAACGAAGCGAGACGGAAAGAAGAAAAAAAGAAAAACGAAGCGAGACGGAAAGAAAGAAAAAAAGAAAACGAAGCGAGACGGAAAAAAAAAGAAAAAAGAAAAAACGAAGAGACGGAAAGAAAGAAAAAAGAAAAACAAGGAGACGAAAAAGAAAGAAAGAAAAAAAAAAAACGAAGCGAGACGGAAAAGAAAGAAAAAAAAAAAAAAACGAAGCGAGAGGGAAAGACAAAGAAAAAACCTGACACAAAGAAAAAGCAAGACAGAAAGAAAAAAAAACAACACAAAAAGAAAGAAAAAGCAAGACAAAAAGAGGTGATCTATGAGAAAGTAAAGAAAGGGAAAAAAATGGCATAAAGAACAAGTGGGGTGACAATAAGATATAAAATTTCTGAAATGCTCAAGTGACAACCATTTTCATTGTGTTAGTTGCACTCTGGTTATTGTGTTCATTCTGTTTGCTGAGTGTAACAGTTGTACATAGAAACAAGCAGAATAAATTATATAGAATCTTTTTTTTTTCTACAACTTTCTTACTTCCTCTATTTCCCCCTTCATCCCCTCCTCCTAACTAACCTCAACAAACATACTAAAAATATCCCCTTTGACTTGCTCCTTTGGCATGTGTGAATTGGCAGGAATTAAAAATTGTTTGATCGATTGATTTGTTTTCTACAGCTTATGCAGCTTTGCAGGTTATTTAAAGCCAGAAAGTATTTTTTAGATGGTAAGATTTTTTTTTCTTTGGAGATAATGAATTAGTGATACAAGTTTTACTAATTAACCTATATCTGGGGAGAAGAGGTGGCTTCATCATACTTATTATAAAACCCAGATTGTGTGTGTGTGTGTGTGTGTGTGTGTGTGTGTGTGTGTGTGTGTTTATATATTGGATAGGATTTCCTACATTTTTCAACTGATTTCAACAGAACTTCACAGGACTACGTAAAATTACCTTGCGGTGGTTCTGACAGTGCCAAAAATTGGAAAAACAATTGTTTTTGCACAAAATCAATTTGAAAACACGATTAAGAGGCATTAATGCAAGGGGGACAACTCATATCGAGTTATATTTATTATAAAACCCAGTTTGGTTGTGTGTGTGTGTGTGTGTGTGTGTGTGTGTGTGTGTGTGTGTGTTCATTTATATATGGGATCGGATTTCCTACATTTTTCAACCCATTTCAACAAAACTTCACTTTTTCTGTATTTTTACATTCAGAATGCTTTAAAAATTCCATTTAAAAGACAATTGTTTATAATAAAATTCTATTCAATCGATAGACACATAACGATTGAAAACAATGTTTTTGTTTGAGTTTGGGTTTGACCAATTCATAAAAAAAAAACAAAAAAAAACTAATTAAGACATGCGTGTCCGTCAACCTTACACAATAATCTTTGTCAATTTTATTTTTCAGTCTTTATGATGGTCAATACTTGATCTATCTCTTCCTGTTACATCCCCGGGCAACGCCAGGCTCTACTGCTAGTATCTAATAAGAATTTCATAAACGAGAACTTATGATGATATAGTGAGGGATCAATTCTATAATTCAATGAATATATGAACTGATCCATCATGTGAATAAATATAAAAGACATGCCAGTGTAGCTAATCAGTATTTCATGGATTGATTCATTCATTTTCTATGGCTTATCAACCCTTTGTGTGTTATTTAAAATGAGAAAATATTATTAGATTGTAAGAATTTTTCTTTGGAGATGATAATGATTTAGTGATACAAGTCTTACTAATTAACAGAGCTGGTGGATTCATACCTTTCTCCAAAGATATTTGCACATAAGTGTATATAGCAAACACAACTGGAATTGGAACTCTGCTCTCCCCTTAACAATTCCAAGCCATTATCTATTACACCACCCACACATCCAAGCTTACAGCAGCTGGTACTCTCAAGAAGTCAACCATCTAGGTACTGATCAGGCTTGACATTACTTGACTTTAATGATTGTACAGGAACTGGCATTTCGACAGGACATGGTCATAAGCCAGAATTAAAAAGCAAACACCAAAGGTTCAAAAAGCTTCTTTTTTTTTTTAAAGTTTAAATTTTAGGATGTCTTGACAGTAAACTGCACTAGATTTGGCCATGCATGTAAAAAAAAAAAAAAAAAAAAAAGTCAATTTTATTATGAGAGACCCTCAGTTATTTTGTCCTGTTTTGGTGGCCAAGATATTTGCATATTTCCTATTGGTACCATTGATCAGTGTTCAAGCATCTGTGAAAGGAATTTTCAAAAGCTGATTTTCCAAGGATGGTAAGCAGATATATTTAACCTTCAAGCAGGTAAATCCTAACACCAGTTTACCCTCACACATCTATTTTAGTGTTATATCAAACTCTCTTCCACCTTGAATCATCTTCAAAGGAACATTACATTTATAAACAATGTTTTTTTTTTTGTCTGTTGTATTGCAAGTCAACTGGTATAACTGGCAATCCACTAAAGAACACAATGTCTCATTTGGTGTTAACAGTTAACAAGTGACATTCCCCTGCCAAGCAGATGTTGGCTGGTTGATTTTGTTTAGCGGCATATCAATCTTTTGGGGTTATTTAATGCCAAAATCTAAATATTTGAATACAATTGCACACCTTCAACTGCAGATAAAATGTATTGTTGGTAATTCTACTATAAAATGTATTACTAGTTATTTTGATTTAAAAATGTATTGATAATTTTACTATAAATAGGTATTGTTGGTAAATTTTTTATATAAAAATGTACTGCTGCTATTTTTTGCTATAAAAATGTATTTTTATACTTTCATAGTTATTTTGTTGAGGGTTCACTATTTGCTGGAACATTAACAGGTGCTACAACCCCAGGTGGGGGACCTGGGAAAAACAGCAACACTCAAAACCCCCAATTTCTTGATCAGAAGCCTTGCTGCCAGATTTAGTTTATTGTTATACCCAGGACTAATCAAGTAGATGACCAGCAGCAACAGTCTGCACCACCATTTTTTTTCTATTCCAAAAGGTGAGAAGTTTTGTTGAGGTTTAGTTTCCTAATCATTACAGTACCTATTGTTCCCAAGTAGTCCCCCATCTAAGTACTGACCAAACTTGACACTGCTTAAATATAGTGATCAAACAAAACTAGTGCTTTCAGTGCATTTTGACTTTAAACGAAGCTTAATGTTGTACTTTTAATGACCAGCAGGGGAGAGTGTGAGGTAGGGTCTACAAGACAACCACCCACTAGATCAAATGAGAGTAAAATAATAAGTAAATAAATAAATGAATGAACACTATTGGGATCAAGTGACACTTCACCAGACATTTGGGGATTTCCTTTTGCACGATTATATAAACATAGTTAGGATTGAGGTTAGTTTTGGGCTGTCTGTTATGGGTTTGTGCTGTCTATCAAGAGAGGGTTCTGAATCTATGTTACGATGTTGAGAGGAATAGAGGAGTGATAGGAGAGAGAGTTCTTGCTGGTTGAAGAGAAAAGCTGATCTGACATGGCAGAAGTTGTCCCAAGTGTCGCCTATCTACCCACCCAGACCATGTTAGCAAATAAGCTGAAACAAACATGTGAATGGGAAACAGGATTCATGTTTTCTCATTTCTAGCTATGGTGTTTATTTTCATTCACTTGTGAACCTAAAATGTACCTTTCACACACATAATAATGAATGAGAATGGAGATACAATGTGGTGTTTTTGTCTGGTTGCTCAAAAGCTGAAGGAGGGTTTCATTGTTCAGTAATGGTAAGATTAGCCATTTCCTTAAAAGGTAATATTCACCATTCACTGACTGAGCAGTGGAACTCTCTTTCAGCTTCTTGTTTCCCAGTCGACTTTGATCTTCAAAAACTTAAAGGCAATCTCAATTATTACCTTCTAGCTTCTTAATTCTTGTTTTTATTGTCCTCTCTTCTTAATAGTATGTTTTTATCATATTCTCTAACACTCAGTAACCCCTTGTGTCTTCTTGGCTTTATTGGCTTGTTTGGGGTGAAATGATTAAAAAAAAAAAATTGGTAGGGGAAAATAAGTTTCTCAAGTCTAGTAGCTGTTATCGCTCCTTGTTGTGGGGGTGTTTCCTTCCTAACCTTTTGTTTAAAGTAGTGTGGAACTTCAACAACTTGAAGAGAAATAAAGTTATATTTACTAGTCATATTAAGTACTGATACTGTTGAAAGTCACAAAGTGATGTGGTTCCTTTTATTTGAAATATCAAGTAAAGCATACAGTTTCCCTTTTCATCTTTATTGTCATATTCATGACATTTTGGCCATTGTATACTCCAGCCTTCTTCAGAATCACTCAATATTTCTGAGATGAGGTATTGTAACTATTTACACTATTTCCATTGTTCAGACTTGTCCTCATCTTTATTGCCATATTCACCTTCAACATCTGTCTATATTTCTCAGATGAGGTATTGTAACTATTTACATTGTTCAGATTATTGTCCACATCTTCATTGTCATATTCATGACATTTCGGCCATTGCATGCTCTGGCCTTCTTCAGGAGCTGTCTATATTTCTGAGATGAGGTATTATAACTATTTATACTATTTACATTATTCAGACTCTTATTCTCATCTTTACTGTCACATTTACTCGAGCCGTCTTCAGATGACATTTGTTGGAATTTTGAACTGAACCCTTTATTTAGTCCACGTGGACTGTTCTAATTTCATGTACCATGCCTTTCTATATAGTAAATCAACAGTGCACAGTCAGGTCGGATACTTTCCTGATGTTGATACCATGTAGGTATATAAGTTCTCATTATTTGCAAAGGAGATAGGCACTATCAAATAACATTGGCAGTTCACCTCATGACGGAGATAAATCTATATTTCCCAGGCATTCCTGAACGGAGAAAAAAAAACATTTTCTGGGCAGATCTATAAGGCATTGGGAAAATTGACATTTCTTTTTTTAACATTGAGATATTATGGTTTTAGTATAGTATTATGTTTAATAATAAAGTCTGTGCAATTAAATGATTTAAGAAGCATGTGCAAGAAGAACTTACCGATTTCTGATGATGCGTTCAACAATGGTTTGTGTAATAAATTCACTGCCACTATCCAAGAACTCGAATTTCCCTCGACGTTTCGGCTCCTAGAATAAATAAAACAGAGAAGTCAGTAACATTTTACACTGCCTGAAACATTGAGATGAAATATTTGCAGTAATTATGACTTGTTTTTTTTTTTGTGTCAGGATTGTTAATGGCTTCAGTAGCCAAGATTCCTGCAACATGAAAGTGAAGGAGAAAAAAACAAAAACAAAAAAAAAACACACACAGAGGTGAAATATATGTAGAGTTAAAGATGGAATATATATATATATATATATATATATATATATATATATATATATATACACACACACAGAGTTATAGAGATGGAATATTATGCATGTATATAAAATATTTATTCAAATTTATAACATTGTTATGAGGTCCACCCTTTTCAGATATAATGGACTCGTCCTGCTGCCATAAAATAGCCACAGTCAGGCAGAGAAGATGAGTCATACCGGAGTCTGTGAGTGTTGGTAGTCGGATAGAGTGAAGTAACCTCTTGTAGAAGTCAGTTACCATTTAGAGTTTAGTGAGTGGGCTGCGCCGGTGGTTTACATTAAAAAGAAGTCGGGAGAAATTCGCGTATGCGCAGATATTTCGACAGAACTCAACAAGGCAATAAAGGACCACCATTACCCACTACCGAGCCCAGAGGATATATTTACAAAGCTCAACGGTGGTAAGATATTTTCAAAAATAGATCTTAATGAGGCTTATCTACAAATCCCATTACAAGAAGAGAGTACGAAAATCCTTTGCATTAATACGCACAAAGGGTTGTACAAGTTTAACAGACTACCATTCGGAATAAAATTTGCACCTGCAATTTTTCAGCAAACAATGGACACAATGCTCACGGGCCAGAATTTCGCGACCGCTTATCTGAATGATATTTTGATTAAGAGCGACAATGTTGAAGAGCACACATCACACATAAAAGAAGTTTTTAGAAGACTTCAGGACTTCGGTTTTAAAGTAAAAGGAGAAAAGTGTGATTTCTTCCTAAATGAAATAAAATATTTAGGTCAAATAATAAATGAAAATGGCAGGAAACCGGACCCAGAGAGGGCATCAGCAATTAAAAATATGCCGGAATCAAAAAATATTGCAGAACTGCAAAGTTTCCTGGGCCTAGCTAATTACTATGGCGAATTCATTGAGAATATGCATAAATTGAGGGCTCCATTAAATGAGTTACTAAAAAAGGAGCATAACTGGAATTGGACAGAGTATTGTAAAAAAGCGTTCAAAGAAATAATACAGAAATTAACGTCAAAGCTAACACTGACACATTTTAATCCCGAACTCGATATAATTATTGCAAGTGACGCGAGCTCACATGGGGTAGATGCGCGTGTATTTTACACAAGATGCCGAACGGTACAAACAAACCCATTGCACACGCATCTAGATCACTATTACCGGCGGAAAGAAATTATTCACAGACTGAAAAGGAGGCATTAGGCATAATTTTTGCAGTAATGCGTTTTCATAGATATATATATGGGAGAGAGTTCACACTTCAAACGGACCACAAACCACTCCTTACGATATTTGGTTTGAAAAAAGGCCTACCAGTCTACACAGCGAACAAACTTTTAAGATGGGGAACTGTGTTACTGAACTATAATTTTAAACTGCAATTCTTACCATCAAAGAAAATCGGACATGCTGACGGACTATCGCGATTAATACCTACAAAAAGCGAACAGTTAGAAGAGTCGGTAATTGCCGCATTACAAGCGGAAGATGAAATCAGCAAAGTACTTTGCAATACAATAAAGGAACTACCTGTAACGCTGCTAGAAATAAGACGAGAAGCAGAAAGAGACGACTTTATTCAGGATACCAAGAAAAAAATAGAAGACAAAATGAAGAATTTAGCAGACAGTTTCTCAATCTGTGACAACATATTGTTGTATAACGAGAGAGTTGTAATACCAAAATCACTACGAAGAAGGATCTTAAAAGATTTTCACTTGGGACACCCCGGAAAAAAACGGATGAAATCACTCATGAGGAGTTTCGTATACTGGCCGAATATGGACGATGATATCACGCAAATGGTGGAAAGTTGCAACGGTTGTGCTACTGCAGCGAAGGCACCACCCGCTATACAAAAGCCATGGCCTAAAGTCGACAGACCATGGTCCAGAATACACGTGGATTACGCAGGACCCATTGAAGGTTATTATTACTTAATAACAATAGACAGTTTTAGCAAATGGCCTGAGGTTGCCAGATTCAAGCACCCAACAACGGAAAACACCATAAATTGTTTAATTGAACTATTTGCTAGATTTGGTGTCGCAGACTGTGTAATAAGCGATAATGGCACAGAGTTTACATCCAGCGATTTTAAAGAATTTTGCAAGATGTATCAAGTAAAACATATTAGGATAGCGCCATACCATCCCAGGTCAAATGAACAAGGCAAGAGATTTGTCGACACTTTGAAAAGAGCATTAAAAAAAGCTGAGGACTTACCAACGATAAAAGCTCTACAGCAATTTCTACAAGTATATAAGATAACACCCAACACAAACACACCATCAGGTCTTTCCCCAGCAGAATTAATGTTTGCACAGAAAATAAGATCGGTGTTTGTTACACTATTACTGAGCAAGAGCAAAATTCAATATACACCGATGGTGCCAAAGAGATCATTTAAACCTGGAGAACGGGTTTATTTCAAAAATTTTAAAAACAATATGTCGTACTGGGAGCTGGGTACAGTAATCAATAGAATCGGAAATCTAATGTATACCATAAAAGGCGAAAAGTTCACACACAGAAGACATATCGACCAGCTACAGAAAAGATGAATTGAGGAACCAAGCTTGTCAACTGCAGAAGATGACGACGCTATGGATACAATCTTTGAAGTGTTTGAGATACAAAGACCGCAGGAAAATACAGTAATGAGAAGGTCAAATAGGAAAAGAAAATTCATCGAACCACTAATCATCAACCACAAGAGACAAAAATATTAACTCCCCACCAAAAAGGGGGATCTAAGGAGTGGGGTGTTATGGGGTCCACCCTTTTCGGATATAATGGACTTGTCCTGCTGCCATAAAATAGCCACAGTCAGGCAGAGAAGATGAGTCATACAAGAGTTGTAGAGGAATCGTACCGGAGTCGTCTGTGAGTGTCGGTAGTCAGATAGAGTGAAGTAACCTCTTGTAGAAGTCAGTTACCAGCACGTAGACTCTAAGGAAGTCCTACTTTGAGACTGTATATATCTATCTGTATTTGCTACTAACCATGTTCCTGGATTTTACTAACAGCATTACCTTTTGTATTTTGTGTAAATACATTTAATTTCTTAGCTTAAATACTTGCGTTTGTCATTTATTGGATACCTATTTTTCACGCTGGATCCACAACACATATGCATGTTAGATCACTATAAAAGTTGCAATTTCTTTGGATAATATATATATGGTGTCTTATATATATATATATATATATATATATATATATACACACACACACACACACACAGGTTATGAGCCATTGGTATATAATCCAAGTGAATCCTATTAATATAAAATATTAACTATTAAAACTGATTCACATAGAGCGCTCAATGTTTTATTTACACAGAGCATGTAAATTACATACAATTGGAATTAAGAATACATATTGGTTATGATCATGTCACCCTGCAAATTAAGATAATTTGCAAGGATTTTCAAACCGGTCAAGAAAGATAAAATAAAACTGGTTTAAAACAAATTTTAAAAACCAGATAGAGCCAAAGAAAGAAAGAAAGTCGGAAAAAAGAAAGAGCAGAAGAAATAGGAAGAAACAAGATAGGGAGAGGAAGAAGTGAGAAACAAGAGGATAGAGAGGGTAGTATTGTCTAAATATGGGGATTAGGGGGAGGTGATATAAAATGTGGTCATGACCTGAATTATATTAGAATATTGACCTCTGTTGTAATCAGTAAGTAATTAGTTGAAAAATAGGGAAAAATATTTTAAAATCTTATATTAACAAATTACTATTAATTCAATATTAAGAGAAATAATTATATATTTATATTAAATAGAGATAATTCAAGAATTAATGATATATTAAAATATTAAAAAAATAATAAATTATTTGAAAAATATTAAAAAATATATACTGATTTAATTATTTTCTTATTAGGAAATATATCATTTAATATTCTTCATTTAAAAACACCATATATTAAACTATTACCATCTACAAGGAAATAAAAATTCATAGAATATTTTTTATTTTATATAAAAGCCAATAATAGAGGAAGATCAAATGAAAAGGAAAAATCTACACTTCAAATTAGAAAATTAAGGTTATAAAATAATGTATATTAAATGATATTATAGTCAGGTAACATTAAAAGAAAAATATAAAATCAATTTAGTAAGTAATAAGTTGCAACTGATGACTAAACAAAAGAGGTAATAAAAGGAAAAAGGAGGTATAATAATTAAATCTAAATAATTTATATAATTATTATATAAATTATATTATCATTACTAAATAACAATATTATTATATTATTAAATAGTTTAATTAAATATTATTAAATATTAATATTTTAATAGTAAATAAAATATTAAGATGTATTAAATATTACATAAAACATCAATACATCATTAATTATTATTATTAATATGAATTATTAAATGATACATCATTACACCAAATAATACAGTATATATTGGTATATTAGACATCAATACAACATATTGATATTTTATATTAATATATTAAATTAATACACTATATATCATTACATTAAATAATACTATTATATTATTATATCAAGACATCCTAAACATTATTATTTAATTAAAATTAGTATATTAAATATTACCATTATTAAATGTTATTAGGTATTATTACCTAACATCATTATAATTATATTCTTAGTATATTATAACATTATTATAATATTATACAAATGTATATATTATTAGATATTACATATATAACGATTATATTATACCATTATATAACATAGAAAAAATATGAGAGGAAGAGACAATTAATTTTATATATCTTCTTAACCCTTTAAAAGAAAAAAAGTACCATATGAAAAAATTATTTAAAAATCTTTTATAAACAAGAAAAAAAGAAAATATCATCACTAATTATAATATATTTATAAAGTGGCAATGTAAAGTTTAAATTTAAATAAAAAAAATTAAATAAAAAACCTTGCCATAAGAGAAAAATACAAATAATAACAATAATAATAAGGTATTATCAAGGATATTAGTGACAGCCACCAAAGTACTAAAAGTAAATGGGTGAAAGAGAAAAGGGATTTTTAGTAATGGGTGAGGGATGAAAGATTTAGGAAGGTTATATGACAAGATAGAGGCGGAGTAGAATTCAAAGTACATTTGTCAAAGGATAACATTTCACACAAGTTCAGTAAGAGACTATAAAAGTTTAAATCTACTTTGGTGACAACATTTGGAATTAATTCATTCCTTTGGTTTAAAATATATTTGGATTTTCAAATTTAATTATTCTAATTTTAAATATATATATATATATATATATATATATATATATATATATATATTTGTAAATTGATTGCACGTTTATCATAATTTAAATAACTGATCCAAGTGCGACTTTTGGATAATAAGTGCGACATTACTGTAATTATTGAACAATATAGTTCATGCCACTTTGACAGAAAATTTACCAGTAAAAAATTTGTTCATCACCATATATGAACGCACAACTTTTAAAAATTTAAAATCAAACTCAGCGTTGCTACTGCGCGCTCCAAAAACAATAACTCATTTCCAATAGCATTTTCGGATACAACAATACATATATTTTTGTTGTCCTCTTATTACTAAGAGAAAAACAAGAACAACATCTATTCTATACCTGAAGATGTCTGTAGGAACAGACGAAAGCTTGTAGTAAAAAAATAAGAACTAATACGGCAGAAATTTATATAAACAAGGATCATTTCATTCATAACGAATTCGGAGGTTTTTGTATATTATTTGAATTGTTTGCGATGATGGATTTCTCGCCAATTAAATCATTAACCTTTGCATTAGTTTTTGTGTGAATAATTCATGAATTTGTAAATTGATTGCACATTTATTTATATATATATATATATATATATATATATATATAAAAGTGTCATGTACAGTGGAATTATACTCCATTTGTTTTCATTTTACCTAGATTTTTACCCATGTGTCTATCTACATCTATAAGAAGAAAAACTACTTCACCAATCTTCATTAAATTTGGAACATAGATAGCTCATTACACTCCCTTTTATGTCTACTATGTTGGATTTATTTTTGAGTGGAGCAAAGGTGATAGTCACCCCCACAACTTGAAAATAAATGCACCCATGGATCCAAAAACTACCGGACACACTTCTGAAATTTACAACATAGATTTTCGGTATGAGATTGGATGTAATATGTTATGTATAAGTAGATATTATTTTGATCAAATAAGGTTCCCAGGGTTGGTTTTTTTTTCCACAAATTTTTCAAATTTGTTCATATTTTTTTCCCTTCATTTTTAATGAAATTTAAACTTAGGTTAATGAATTGAAATGATGCCTATTTCCAAAATAAAAGCTAATTTCAATAAATTCTTATGAATTTCATTGCTTATTGTCCATTTAGTGACAGATTCATGATGAAAGCAAATCATCTTGCAACTCTTGATGAGTAACTATTGGATTTTGTTTAATTTGATGCATTAATTTCCTCAAAAATCTTTCAGAAATCTTCTGTGAAGTATCTGTTCTTTGATTTTCAACAAATTTTTATACCTTGCAATGAATGAACTAAATGGTAGTAAATGGAATATTTGGCTTCTCTGAGATTTTCCTCTAACTTTTATCTTCTTTCCAGAGCTTAACAGTTTTTTGGGGTTTTTTTGCGAATTTTTTCTTTCTTTACCTCTTGCTATGATGAAAACCTTCTTGGACGAATATCAATCACAGAATGTTCTGTTTGTATTTTGAGGGCTAAAAATAACTACTGATAACATTGGAACATTCTAGAATATTCCACTTAAATAATCTAAAGTATTAAAGCAATTTAAAAGTTTTAAAATCTGAAATTTGCATTGTATGAATACTTTTTTCACCAATTAAAATGATTAAACAGGATTTCTTACTATTAAATCATTTTTGTTCCTTTATGAAAAGTATGTTTATTCATTAGTTGGAAATACAATAAATTAAAAATTTGTATGTGTACAAATATTTGTTTCACCCCCACCGTGTGTGTGTGATGCACACACACACATTATATATATATATATATATATATATATAGTTATTTTCTAAGCGCAGCTTAGATGTGGCACAAGGCCAAAAGTATGGGGTACCTAGTGAGGATCGAACTCACTTTTCAGTAGTAACTGATCTAGCAAGACAAGCTTGCTAACCATTACACCACGCCGAGGTGTCCAAGTATAATGATTTTCCAAACGTAGCTTAGATGTGGCACAAGGCCGAAAGTAGGAGACACCCAGTGAGAATCGAACTCACTACTCAGTGGTAATTGTTCTAGCGAGACAAACTTGCTAACCATTACACTGCCTCGAGGTGCCCCAAAGATTTTCCAAGCAAAGCTTAGATGTGGCACAAGGCCGAAAGCATGGGGCATCCAGTGAGGATCAAACTCACTTTTCAGTAGTAACTGATCTAGCAAGAACAAGCTTTCTAACCATTACACCATGCCGAGGTGCCCACACACACGTATATATATATATGTGTGTGTGTGTGTGTGTTTTCTAGTTGTCTATGTGGGATTTAGATCATAACTAATCAATGGTGGATAGAAAGTTATTTGTCTATATTTCTGAGATGAGGTATTGTAACTATTTACATTATTCAGACTGTTGTCCTCATCTTTGTTGTCATATCCACAATGTTTCGGCCATTGTACACACTGGCCTTCTTCAGATGATATATGTTGGAATTTTGAACCAATCACTTTATTTTACTCCATAGATAGATTGTTCTACTTCCACGTGCCATGCCTTTTCTGGTTATCTCAGTTTCAGTTAATTCCCTTTAGTAACAACTCTCTAAGTTTTTTGTTCACTTCTGCTGTGGCCAGGTATTGAACTCACAACTCTTTGAGTCTAGTCACTTTTTGGATTTCTCAACCAATATTATTATCCACTGGACGATGTGTCCTTGGGGAAATAAAGATGAGGACAACAGCTATAGTGTAGAAACTTATTTGTTCAACAAGGAAATGAAGAGCAAAAAAAAAAATCTTTGCTAGTTTGGAAGAGACAAAAAATGAAATGAAACTCACAGCATAAGGATCAGAACCATCTTCATCAGGCATTATGGGAGTTTTTCCATGGCATACGAGATCAACCTGGGCAAAAACAAAAGAAACAAACCATAACACGTTTTTATTATATTATACTGTAAAAGAGTTTAATGGAAGTATTTGCTATCTAGCATGAGTTTATAAATGACTATCGAAAAACTTGTGGAATGAAGGCAGAAATAAACAGCAAAATGGTCAGACATCAAATAAGAAAAAATGTTTTCCAAGTTGAATGATTCATGCATCCTTCCAGCTAATAAATTAATCCTTTGAAAATAAATATTTAACATTTGTCAACCAACAGGTAGCAGTCATGCTGACAATAAAAAACATGCTTTGTGATCCTTTTGTCTCTAGGCCAGTGTTTTTCAAGTTTCATAAGCAACAGCACACCTAGGAGCAAATGAAAATATCACGGTACACTTAGCAAAATTTTGAAAAGGTATACATTTAAATATTATGAAATAAAACCATAGATTTAAAAACCTGGAAAATTATTAAATCAAATGCTCAATGCTGCATATCAAAAACTTCAACAATTCATAATTCAAGTTTGTAAAACTTTTGAATTAAAGATAAAAAATGTTGAATTATATGAAAAAAAAGCTTAATATTCATGTGAATAAATGAAGTAAAATTTTATAAAGTTAAATTAAAAAATAATACTTTTTAAAAAATGAATATTAAAACAAAGTATTTAAAATAAGAATAGAGAAAAGAATTATTTTAAAAAAAAGTTTAATACTTATTCACTTATGTAAATACTAATGTTGTACCATTACTACTTCCACACACACACACACACAATGACAATATTTTGTGGTACACTTAAGACGATCATGTAGCAACACAACAGTTGGGAATCACTGCTCTAGATTGGCAAAACCAGTAAGGAACGGCAACTGTTCACAATATGGCTTCAAAAAGATTGCTCCACTTGTTCAGCCATCTTTCTCATAAAGTTGTGACATTTACACTCCTTTTCACCAAGCTATCTGACAAATACACACACACTTCCCTTTTGCCCTTGCCTCTATTTTTCACACACACATGCGAAAAAAAAAAGATCACATCTCTTTTCATCTTAAACAACTACAAACAAGGAACATTAACACTCATATATGCTGAGAAAAATTTGGTTGTAAAAACACAAAAATAGAAATATTTTTTATATTTAAAAACCTTTCTGGCCTTTTTTTTTTGTTGAGAGTAAATTCAAATCTGCAACAAACTACAGGTAATTGCAAATAGCAGGAAATGCTTTTAAAAAAAAAAAAAAAAAAAAAGAAAAAAAAAGAAAGAAGAAGCTATAAAAGCTCCTGGTAAGGTTTTAGATGCCACTTTTAAGGGAGTCAATGTTGCTTGATACAGGAAAATAGACAAATTAGAATATTGAACAAATAATTAACACTTAATTGGCATTTATGTTGATAATAGTACCTGTGGAAAAAGAAAAAAAATATTTCTATCTGATGATTTTTTTTTTGATAAGAAAAAAAAAAAAGACATTTTTGAAAAAAATCTAAAAATTTTTTAGCTTTTTCTAAATTTTGAAAGTGCTTTTCATTTTTATCAATAAACTGTTGAATTAAGATAGCAATGGTGATTTTTCAAAGCAAAGCTTAGATGTGGCACAAGGCCAAAAGTGTGGGACACCCAGTGAGGATCAAACTCATTATTCAGTTATAATTGATGTAGCGAGACAAGCTTGCTAACCAGTACACCATGTCAAGGTGCCCAAATTAGGATAGTAATGATTTAAGTTTACATGAAAAAATTTTTATTCACATGGCTGTCTCATTAAAATAAAATGTAACAATTCAAAGTTTTGTTTTAAATGGGTTTAATGCATGAATATTATTTGAAAATACCTCCCACATAATGGTAAGACATTAACTAGATGAACAAACTGTGACATAGGGGTTCATTTCAGAACATTGCCCATGTGGAGAGATAGGATAATTATTTTATTGGAAACTTTAGGAATAAAATGAACTGATTCAGGGGTTTGAAATAAATAATATATTTATTTATTTTTGTTAGTGATGAGTGTGTCCTTTGGTAGTCAGTGTAGGAAAAAAGTTTGTTAATAAGGCGGATATGGATAGCAGTATGGAGAAATGTCCATTTGACAATTTAAAATCAGTCTAGGGTAGGGAGTAGTAGCAATGTGAGAAATTAGGTCATTGTCAATCTATTGCATTTTTTTCAGCCCAGAAAATAGGTAGAAATGTCAGTAGCTGATGACCTCTTACTTGCTTCTTCACATGTCATGCATGGTCGCATTCTTTTCTTCTGTCCTCTCCTGGTGTCATTCTGTTCCCATCTGCATTCAAGTCACCCTCTGCTGTTAACCCTGAGGTATAAGGTTTTTATACCCTTTTAAATAGGCTCAGAGTTTATAGTGGGAATTTTGGTTTAAGCTAATCATCAAAAAGTCTCTTTTTTGATTGGCCAAATGATTTTATTTTTCAGTATTCCTCTCTTTTTCATTTATTTTACAACAGAGTTATATGTGGAGCCTCCTTGATTCTCGGTATTTTTAGTCACAAATAAGTAAGCTCTGTTCCTGCAAATTACATTTGTTTTTTGGTCAGGTTCAGTCTTCTTTTCTTCTTCCTCTTTTTATTTGAAGATTGCCTTCTCATAAGTTGTTATGGTGAAACACACCTATTCTATAGCTAATAGACTCTCCCACCTAATATAAGTAAGAGTAGTAAGAGAAACGAGGGTCAGTTGATGTCAGACGACAGTAGTCGACAGTTAGTCGAATACGAAAGTAGTCAGCGACCACAACAAGTTTACTCTAAGTAATACCTATTATATCAAGTTCCTAACGTTTTGTACATTGAACCTATTTAGGACCGATTTAGTACAAATATAAGCCTCCACTGTGAAATACCTCCACAACATAAGTTGAAAGAAGTATAGAAAAAGAAGTTTAGAGAGAGAAAGAAAGAGATAAGGGCTTTAAAGGAAAGTGCAAATGCCTTATTTTAATTCTTTTTATTTTTGCTTATATATTTTATTTTTATATTTGTATCAGGACTCACTACAACATCATTGCCACTAATTCCAAGGTATTTGTGGGAGGTGTTTCTACTGCACCCTATATATATATATATATATATATATATATATATATATGTGTGTGTACACACACACACACATAGACAGAACACACACTCTACTAAGCTGATAATCGAATCATCCTTGATAATGGCTAAAGGTATAGCCGAAAGCGCTCGGAAATATAGAACATTCGGACAGTTCTTACACACCCTTTGTCCAGAAAAGAAAGCTCTTGTCAGAACACAAGAATAATTAAATAAAAAGCTCAACTGTAGTACCTTGTCTGTCGTTTTTAATGAAACATGCATATATATATATATATATATATATATATATGACTAATTGAAATAATTTCAATAATTAATCTCCAGCTATCTAGATTTCTTCTCCAGAACCAGCATGCAAAAATATTAATACTCTTTTTGTCTTTTTTCTTGAGCTCCAGGTTGTACACTCTGAACCAAAGCCTTTTTGAGTTTCACCTGCAACTTCAAACTCAAATCTTAATTTCCAAAATATCTGTTGACACTTTTCTCATTCTTTTGAAACTTCTCTTTATTTTTATTTTTTTTTATCTTTTTAGCCCAAGCAAGGAAATGAAGCCACTAAGTTGCAAGTAAAAGAGTCTGAGAAACATTATTAAGGTGAGAGAACAGGATTTAAGGAGACAGAAGATAATGATTGCATTTAAATTTTTCAAGATCAAAGTTGACTGGAAAGCAAAAAGCAGAAAGAGAGATTCACAAGCAAGAAGAAACTTAGCATAGAACTTATGGTTACAACTAGCAAGTTCAACTGTAAAATGGTGTGACCTAACTGCCAATCTTGTATGGTACTTCATAAAGTTGAGGTACCAAAGAGAAAAGAACAATTACTAGAAAAGTATTTATAGAAAAGGCACAGAGAAGCTATGTCACAACATGTATATGTTACAGTTCTGAGAAGAAGGAGAGCAATAAAGGAAAAAGAGATAGCTAATAGAATGCAATAAAGGAAGTCAAAAGCACTGTTAGCTATTCCACTTCAATGTCTCCTGTTTTGATGTCTGAACCCCAAGACATGAAATTCTTCAGATTTCTGATTTCATCCTTTCCTATCTTGATTGTGCTTTTGCCCCGAGCTGTCCTGAGGCTGATTTTTGAGAAGCTCTTATAAAGATTTATGCAGAAATTACAAACCTCTGCACCTTAAGAGTGAAGGCCTAAACCACTGAAGTGTTTGGACAACTTTTTGAGTTTATGGTGATGCTGTGTCTGGCTCAGGATACGTGATATGGGTTCTCTCTGTCTTTTCTACAAATATTTTCATGGCAATTGTTCTGATGAAATTTCCTCCTTGGTGCCTTGACTGAATGAATTTAAGCATGCTACTAGATTAGCAACTAGGTCTCATCATATGAAACTAGCTAGATGCAACAATGTTTTATTCTAATTTTTTTCTCTCACCTCTTCCAATTTCTTGTTTCACTGACCCCTCCAATCTTCAAAAATTTAAATGCAACACCAATCACCATCTTCTTTCTGCCTGAAACCTGTTCTTTTATTGTCTTTTCTCCTCATTAAAGTCTTTTCATTCTCTTTCACTCCCAATAACACTTGCATTAGATGTGTAATAGCTTTAGTCTGTCACTAATAATTGCATTCATTTCTGACCACTAACAACACCTTTCTTTCCAACTTTCAATGCACAACATCACAGACTGAGTTGCAAAAATTTATAAAACAACTTTTTGGACAACTCAATCACCAGCATTCACAAAAATCTGGAAACTATCCTCAGGGGAGTGATAAGGCAGAGTTTCAAAAACTCCGGGCTGCAGGGATAACTTCTTTTGGTAGTGAATGGCCAAGCCCACTACATTTAGTTTCAAAACGTGATATGCAACATTCAGAACATAATTCAAGTTGTTTCCTTTGCAAGCAGAAACATTTAGTTTATTAGTGCAGAAAAAGATCAAAACTAAGGGGGAGTGATGAAGTAATGGTAAAGTCAGTGGGTAGCAATATGCCAAAAACTTGCTTGCATTTATCAGGTTTAAACGCAATCAGCCCTAAAATAAAATACAATTTCTTATGTCAATTATAAATGCAATAAGTAAAGAGAATGTAGCTGTTCAATAAATCCTACCATGTTAGATAAGCAACTAAAATTGATGGAAATGTTCAAGTAGGAGTTTCATTGAATGTAAAGGTAGAGGAAAAAAATATCACCTTGAAATGATCCATAAGGTCCGCAGTCACAGAATATGGAGCGCCAATCACAACCTCTGAAACATACTGCAAATAACAAAGTGTATGGTTACTTCAACAAGTTCATAGCCAAACGATAAAAAAGCATTTTATACAAAAAATAAATATTCATAACACACTTCTACTTTGTCACTGCACTTCATTATGTGGGAATTACTGATCATATACATTGAATATTATACAATAAAAATTTCAAATTTCACCTGGTAGTTAATTGCTAGGTTAAGAACATACTAGCTGATATAATGGAATATGTGTACACCTGTGTTCCCCCTCACTGGAATATGATTGGCTGGTGTCCGTCATAAATACCGACAGATGTGTTGGTACGACAGAGTCAGAGCCTTAGTCTAAGAGCTAAGTCTATAATGACGCCCATTGGACTACGCCATTGATCTACACTTCTTACCTGCGACTACGACGTGTACCAGTCGATTACTGCTACCGTATTCTATTTGGTTATAGTAGCCAAAACCACTTAGCTACTTCGTTCAAATATATCCCTTTCCGGGACATATCACTAGCATATAAAAAAGTACATATTAAAATGTTAAAGTACATATAAATAGGTACGTATAAAGAACACATTAAAAACATACACAAGTGAACACCAAGGTCAACACTAAGTGGCAATAGTGTTTCATGCTGATCTCAAGATAGCGTTCAAGCATAAAACAGGTTGTTGCCACTTGGTGTTGACTTTAGAGTCCACTTTTATATTTACATACTCTATTAAACATTTTACCCCTAAATATAGCATACTGTAAAACTGTTTTATCATATATATTTTTTTTGTGTTAAAATATATCCTACATTGATTGCACAACTTGGAGTTTCATGCTGTTTACAATCCTCAGGTGCAAGTTTATGTATATTAAATAGCTCAGTTTTTAACATTGAGTACTGTCTTACACTACAGGGTGTGTGTGCATGTCTGTATTTGTATATGAACACCTGTTCATACATTTACCTATATTTAACCATTTGATTATATATATTTTCTTTTAATCATTTCACTCCAAGAAAGGTGGGAATGCCACTAGTACGTAGGGGATTACAGAGAGTGAAGGTGAGAGAAAAGACTGGGTAGGTGGGGACCGAGGAAAGGATAAAAACTGAAGTTCAAGATTATGGCAGTTGATGTTGCATTTAAATTTTTGAAGATTGTAGTTATCAGGGAAGCAGGGAATCAGAAATGTGTTCCACAGGCGAGAAGTGTGTGAAAAGAAACTGTTGGAGTAGAAGTGGCAGTTACATTTAACTAATTCAACAATAAAAGGGTGGGACCTAGATGGCAATCTAGTAGCATGTTTAAACTCACAGTCTGGGCACCAGGGAAAAAAGCTCATCAGAGTAGTAGCCATATATATTTTCAATAAAATCTCAGGTGGGCACTGACCAATCTGAGATTAGACTGGAAATATATTAAATCTCTGCCATTTTTATAGCAGTGAGCACTCTTTTTTCTCCAGTGTGCAGTCATAGGGAGACTCTTTTGGAAACTGTTTATTCTTATATTCTATCTATCTAGATTATATATATATATATATATATATATATTTTTAAGCATTACGCCCCGAGCAAGGCGTGAAGCCACTAGGATGCAGGGGGTTGCAGAAGATTTGGAGCAAGAGCAGATAGGTGTGATAGAAGAAAGGATGAGGAGAGGGATAGTGGATAGATCAAGGTAACTGGAGATGTCAATTGACATTACATTTGAATAGTTGGAGATTATAGCTCTCAGGGAATCAGTAATTGGGAAGGGTGTTCCACAGGCGAGAGGTGCGAGGTATGAAGCTATTGGAGTAGAAGAGACGTCTACACTTAAAAGTTTCAACAGTGTAAGGGTGGGAGCGGGATGCCAGCCTCGTAGGGCATTTGAATTCGTGGAGTCTGGGAACCAGTGAAAGCAGCTCATCGGAGCAATTACCATGAAAGTATTTGTAGAAAAGACAGAGACACACACACACACACCTGAAGAATTAATGGACTTTATCTTTTTATTCAACATTTTTATTACTTTAAATATTATTTTTAGTTAATAAACACATTTAATGAGACAATCCATTTATTTTAAACAGTATCTTATTTTGTCTTCTGGCCTGTACACTAGAAAAAATGTGCCCTCCAATAGGATTCGAATCTGTCCCCCCCCCTTTCAGGAGAAACCACTGTTTAATCTGACATGCTTGGACTGCTCAGCCGCAAAGAGCTTCACAATCATGCAAGGTTCCTTTTGCCTTTAAAGCACATTTACTTGTTCAGATTTCCTCAAAAGTCATAACTGCTCAGTTTCATATCCAAAATGTAAACAAAGCAATTTCTAAAGAATTAATATATGGGTTGGTCAAAATTTTGTCCAGTTTATTAAATGCTATATTTATGGATAGAAGTGTTCAATATCTGGGATAAAGTGTGTGTAAAGAGTGGACTCTAAGGTCAACATGGAGTATCAACAGCCTGTTTCATGCTTAAATACAATCTTCATGTCTGAATATTGCATTTAAACATGAAACTGTGTTGGCATCAATGTCCACTCTTAAATATATTTTGTCTTTTTCTTATAGCTTTAAACATTTAGTGGATACATGCATTTGAGTAAAAACATTTGATTTTAAAACAGTTTAAATTTACGTCTCCCAGCCTGTGTATTCAAGAGTCTTAATAAAGAAAATGTGCCTTCCAACAGGATTCAAACATGCAGACCCTTTGTGAAGGAAACTTTAGTCTGCTCAGCCACAGAAGATTTTCAGTCAAGCAAGCTTCAACTATTCTACTTAAGAAACACACATCTCTTGCTCATATCCTTAAAAGCCCGTATCTACTAACTTTGTTTACATTTTGAATACAAAAATAAATTTCTTTTTCTCTTTGCTTTTTTTTTTTTTTTATACAGTTTATCAACCCTTTGTGTGTTATTTAAAGCTGAAACATATTTTGGATAGTAAGATTTTTTTTTTCTTGCACGTGAATATTGCATTAAAAATTTTTTTTAACTAGGTGGAGGAGATGGATTCAAACCTTCCCCAAGGGTATTTGTGTGTGAATGAATGTAACAGACATGACTGGAATTTGAACACAGTTTTCCAATTTCTCATCCAGAGCTACTGTTCATTACATCAACCACTTAATAAATCATGTCGTATGTGCATATTTTGTTTTGGCTTCTGTAGGAGAATCAATTTATAATGGATTTACATAACAAACTCAAGACAACTATCAAATTTTATAAAAAAAAAAAAAATTTTTTAATGTTACAGATCTGGAATAATATAAAAAAATATTTTAAAAAATGGATTATTTCTGATCGCAGTGCCTGCTACACAACTACACCACTGGATATATTCCCATGTACTTGGGCATTAAAAATCATATTCAGGTATACAGCTTAGATTTGTACTTTGGTAATGTACTCTGACATATCATTGCTGAGTGGAGAGCTTCCTAGACTGAAGTCAGCAGCCTGGGTGGAGGATTTCCCTGACGGAATCAAAGGCCACTTGTCAGTGACCAAGGCAAGCTTTCAAGTTAGGTGTCAGCCATGGTAGGAGTTATGGGTTCCACTAGGTTTACTTGCCCAAAACACCCCCCAACCTGCATAAATGAATACTTCTCTGGCTTCCAACCCACATATGTGGAGGGAATTGATGTGCAGCAACCCTACAATCACACCCGGTCACAGGAGTTATGTGGATAAACGTATGCCAAAAGGTCAGAAACCATTAATTTATTGAAACCCAATGCTCCTCAGGCAGCAACTGTCCGTTGCACTAGGAAGAACAATTAATTAGATCAACACGATGGAGTAATGGATAGCAACCCAAATTGAGGAATTGGAGAACTTGAACTCGAATTCCAGTTGAATTCTTTATATTCACTTATGTGCAAATACACTCGGGAAAGGTATGAATTGATCTCCTCTTATCCCAGCTATGGGTTAAATAGCAGGAAAGAGTGGGTACTATAGCCTTAGGTGGCAACTGGTCTAGGAAAACAACTTTGAATCCAAAACCTCCAGTTATGGGTTTATTTAACCCATAACTGGAGGTTTTGAATTCAAATTCCATCCTGGAATTGGCCAACCATGTTGAATACAGCTACACCCCCGAAGACATGGTCAATCAGGGTGGGGTTCCTGCAAGGAGTGAGAAAGGTCTGGATTTGTTTCAATGAGCTTTCATCACTGGTACCTTTACTTTTATTTTACTAATTAACACGTGCATCAATACTATCAAGAACCAGGCTATTTTTAGAAGACTAACCATAAATATGTGTAGGGGTTTTCTTCACAGTAAGAAATGACTGTAAAATACATTATGCTCTTGTTGGCGTGAGTGCTGAAAACTAATATAGTGATGCTACAATATACGATAACGCTTTTCAGAAGTTAACCCAAAAAAGGGTCATAAAATCCAAGATGCATATGACAGTTACCAAAATCTTCTGAAATAGATGTAATAATGTTTTAACTGTTCATAAAATGTCATCATGCAATCTTTTCTGTTTTTTTATGCTCTCAGTAGAAAGCTTAAATAAAAAAGTTTCATCACTTCCAGCAATTCCATATAGGAAGGAACACATGTTTTTTTTGGTTTTTTTTTTTTTTGCAATTATATATAATAAATTATGTCATTTCAGGCTATGATTGTATTGGTACCATGTAACCTAATACTACCTGCTATATGGTCAGGTCATTGGTGACTATCTGGTTCACTGACCAAGCTGAAATTGGTGAGGAGGATGACTAGGCAACTATCAGGATTAAAAATCAAGAGTCGTCTAATGGCAGATGGCTAAATAGCCATCCATCTCAATAGGGGAGACAAGACCCCCCCATAGATATGTATGCAGCCAGTGCAGTGATGACACAGCATTGCTCAAGCAGTCGGCTTCCAAGACTGAAGTCAACAGACAGGGCAGAGGGTTCTCCTGATGGAAGGAACAGCCACATGTCTCTGATCAAGATAAGCCTTCAAAGTTGGAAGACATTGGCTGTAGAATGGCCTGGAAAGGTCTGCTTGCCCAAGATATGCTATGCATGAATAAATACCTCACTGGTTTTCAACTATGACATGTGGAGAGAACAAGTCATGTAGTCAGATGACCAGACCTGGTCATGGAACTGACAATGATAATAATAATCATCTGAATGCCCCAACGTGCTTAAAAAAAAAAAAAAAAAAAAAAAAAAATATATATATATATATATATATATATATATATATATATATATATATGTCTCAATCACTATTATTTGAAATGCTTATTCTACAAAAAGTCTTACAAACTGAACTCTGGCAACAGATTTCTTTTTGTGCCAGTCTACCAGCTGAAAATAAATAACATGAAATCATTTATGACCTTGGTCCCTAAACACTATAGATAATGATGGGAATCTTTGTACTGCTCTGTATAACACAATGGCTTTCATTACGTTGTGATTAAGTTATTATTGTAATTACTTACTCGACAAGCCAGCACACTTAATACCCTCTCATGAAGGTTCATAATTGGATTGTTGGCACCTTTATAACGGTTAACATCCTACAAAAGAAAAAATTATTTTCACAAATGAGATGACCTGACCCAACCAAAAATAGACATTTCAGCATTTATATATATATATATATATATATATATATATATATATATATAGTACAAAAAAATGTTTACATTATAAATGTAATCAAAACTTTAAATTTAATTATTTAACAAAAAAAAAAAAAAAAATGTAAATATTTAAATTAGGATACATTTTTTTTTTATTTACATGCAGACTATTGTCCTCATTTTTGTTGGTGTTATGACAACAATTTGGATGTCGTGTCTTCCAGCCTTCATCACATGTATGTCAATCTGGGTAACCTCCAGGGAATTTAGAACTGAACCTTTTATTTAATCCATGGGAGTAGATTGTTCTTATACTGTTGCCCATGTTTAGATATAGTCTTGTAAAAAAAATCTGGGTTAAAAAAAAAAAAAAACACTTTAATCTATTAGGCTTATAGACTAGTGGATTAAAGGCATTGGTTTGTGAATTTGGTGACATAGTATTTGTAAGTTCAATCCCTGGGCCAGATAGTGTTTATTTGAACATAGTGGAAACAGAGTGACCAATAACTGAGCAGTACTAAAAATAACAACTTAACGAAATATCCCTAGGCGTGCGCAGTAGAACAAGAACAGTGTACGCCTGTAGATTAAATAAAGGGTTCAGTTCAGAATTCCCTGTAGGTTATCCAGATCAATATACACCTGATGAAGGCCGAAGGACATAACGGCCAAAATGTTGTGATAAGAACAAAGATGGGATCAATAGTCCGAATATAAATAGTGTAAATAAATCCTCATCCCAGAAATTTAGACCAAAATTAAAATTTTATACCTCCAGAAAAACCTAGAAATTTCTTTAAAATACACACACACACACACATATATATATATATATATATATACACATACACACACACACACATACATACATCCCAAAAATGCCAGTAATTTCTGTTCACTTACTTGATCTGTGTGTAACCCAACAATTACAAAATCACCTTTAGCTGCAGCTTTTTCTAAGAAATCACAATGTCCCACATGTGAACAAAAATATGTTAAGGAACAAATAAAATAAAATAAAAACAATATGGCAGGTTACTGGTATTCTGGATTTATAAGAATCAGATATTTCTTTCAGTTCTTGACTGAATTTTGTTTGAGGACATCTTTCAACCATGAAATATGAATGGCTTGGAGGGTCACGGCCCAAGCAACATCAGTTTCAGCTCAAGAGAAGACAATCTGAGGACATGCAAATCTGAGCAGTAAACATGATGTGTACAAGAGGAGAAGCAGATTTCCTCATCAGAGTAAAATGTTCAACATTCCAGAAAACAACAGATTCCTGAGAAAGGCCAAAATGTATCTGACCAAAACATAAAAACAAACAAACAACAGAGACAAGGAAGTTAGTCCAACACAATACACGTATATTTCGGATGTTTATTTTCTTTAGAACTTAAAAAAAGATTTTATTTACTGATCATGTTGACAAAAATAAATTCTTATATTATTATCATTGACTTTACATACATACATATATACATACATATGTGTGATAAGATAAAGAACAAATAGTAAACATTTATCAATCTAACATTTCACTTATATTAATATAAGTGAATAGTTAGATTGATAAATGTTTACTATTTACTAGCTTCATAAGAGAATGAGATATGAAGAAAGAGATCCAGATATTTTTACTTTCTGCCCATATTTCAGTCTCCTTTATCTTATCATTGTTGGACTGTGATCTATATTTGATCCCAACATATATATATATATATATATATATATATATATATATATATATATATATATAATAAATAAAAATTATTAGTGTTTAAGCCTTTTTATTATATCCTTACTCTGTCCTGGACATTGAGTTCTACCTGGATTCTGTCCTCTTGGAATTATTTTTTTTTATATATATATATATATATATATATATATATATACACACACACACACATTTCAGATATATGATTGCATATGTATGTGTATATTTATATATATATATATATATATATATATATATATATATATATATATATAAATATCACACATTGAGTGCTGCTGCTAATAAATAGAGCTCAGCATATAATAACAGAGCTAAAATTTATATCAATAATGGATACACATTTGTTTTCTTCCCTGGTAGCACAACTCTAATTTTCATACATGATGCAACCATCAGGTGCTGATTGAAAACTATGTAATGGTCAGATTTCAGTCATCACCTGACTATTGCATCATGCATGACAATCGGAGTTATGTTATTGTAGAAGAAAAAAAAAATTGAATCTATTTATGCTTGTTTAAGTTTGATTATATTTGGTGGTGACAGGGGAGAATTCTCTGTGGTTGCTTGGGATATATTTATATTATGAAATGAACTAAGTCCAAAAATCTAATATATTTTCTGTTTATACATTATTTTTAGAGGTACAAACATTTAAGTAAATGCTCTGTTTATAATACACAGTATTAAACAGAGCATTTACTTAAATATTTATATCTATAAAAAAAAAAAAGAAAAACAGAAAATATGTTACATTCATACATATATATATACATTATTTATTTTAGGATATTAAAACAAAAACATGTTAAAAATTGCTACAAAAGTGTGTTACAGACGGTGGAATTATACTCCATTTGTTCTAATTTTACCTGGATATATATATATATATATATATATATATATATATATATATGTGTGTGTGTGTGTTTGAAATAATAACCAGACAATTGTATTTCTTTTTCTTAATAATTTTTTTAGATTTACTATTTTACAGTAAATATTTTTTCTTGCTCTTTGTACTATATATTAATATGCTTTTTAATGTGTCTATTTTTAAAGCTATAGTAAAGTTCTGTACACCCCATACATTACAGAGGTGTGCAAAGTTAGGTATACAGTAAGTATTAGACCAGTATTATAATAATGGTTCTTAGATTCATTTAATTCGTTTTTGTATGCAAGCCATGTTCTGTTGATGTCATGATTCAGTTCATACGGGAGGTATACAAGAAAATTGATGCTGATAAAGACCTTTGTACGAGAGTGTGCATGAGTGTCCACTCTCAACTAGAGAAGTGTGTAAATGTCATGGGCAAACAGTTTCAACATTTGACGGATTGTCATGTTTATTATTGTTATGTTTATACAATCAATACATTTTGTGCACAAGTTCGGTTTTTCATAATGTCTGTAATGTTTTGCTGTAATAGGTTTATCTCCTTGCACTGGTGAGACCAGGAGGTAATGTTTGTTATGACAATGGCAGAGCCAGCCAGAAGGTAAAAAGACCATAATAATAATAATAAATTATATATTCAAAAGACTCATACAAAAACTTAATAATTATAAGGACTAAATATCAATTTAATATAGGCAGTCATTTTTGATGGCTTGAATTGATTGATTTTTTTTTTTTTTTACAATTTATTGATCCTTTGCATGTTATTTAAACTGAAACATATTTTAGATTGTATTTTTTTTTTTTTTTTTTGCAAGGGAATATTAATTTTTTGGGTAATAACAATGATCTTTCTAGATACAAGTTCTACTGTTTAACCCATAGCTGGAAGGAGATCAATTTATAACATGGATATTTGCACGTAAGTGTATGGAGCAAACCTGACTGGAATTTAAACTCTCCAATTCAGCTGTCCGATTTCTCCTTATGAGCCATTATTGATGGCATGGATAAACTCCTATTTATACATTCTACTGGGCTCTAAATGAGAGTTCGTTTTTCTATTGTAATTAATATACTGGTCCCCCAGAATTAGTACTGAAACAAAGATTCACATATGACGACCTATTAATAGTCTGGAATTACAAAATATAAATCTGATATATACTTTTTTTTTGTTTGTTTTTTTGGGTTTTTTTTAAATATGAAAGATTCAAGTTTATGATTTTAACAGTAAAGAAAGTAAAATAAGTGGCAAAAATCATTGATACATGCAGTGAATGTCTTTCAAAGAGTTTGACAAAATGGCAACTGTTTCCAATGATAGAAAAAGGATATGAAAGAGATCAAAGGCACCAGCCACGTAAACTATTCGGTCACCAGGGGACGGTTCTTTGCCTTCTGAAAACTGGATTATTTTTTTGGTTGTTGGCAAAAACTGGGAAACACCAGTCCAAGGGCTTTGTGTGCTGTGATCCTAAAATGGAGAGAAAAGATTTTTCAATTTTTCTTGTTTTGTTTTACAGTTTAGCAGATAAATGATTCATTGGAATGTTTCAATGATTGTAGGGAGAGTCATGGAAGAAAGGCATATATCTAAAGAATTAATAAACTTATTTTTTACAGGATGTTTAAAATAAGAACAGCATGTTTGTTTCAAAAATGAGTATCCACTAAAATTATATATATATATATATATATATATTATAACATGCACATGTTATAACATCACTACAAAAATGTGATTTTGTCTCAACATTTCTGGTGTCTTATCAAGTAATGGTGTTGACTGCAAAATAAAGGGTTTTAAGAGTTTAAAAGCCAACCAAATCCTCTCAATAGGGGAAACATTTTTATGTAACCCATGATGACCAATCAGAATACAAGTATATGGTAATTCAAAATAACCTGACAACATACCCTAAGTGCAATCTATTCGTGCATTAAAGTTAAGATTAGATTAAATTAGAAATCAATATAACAAATTAAATTTTAATTTCACAGTTGAATTTAAAATAAAAAATTACAAATGTCAAATTCTAATTTTAACCGAACATCAAGTTTAAAATTATTACAAAATTATTCAGAAATGAAACTAGGAGAAAAAATGTATTTTATTGTTTTTAGCGAAGTGCCAATTTATCAGTTACGTTTGACATTGATGTAAGAAGTATCTATGATCGCTACACATATTTGATACATGGAAGTCTGAATTCAAATAAGGAGGTAGATAGGGAAGGGAATTTTCAAATGACAAGACAAACACATTCACATCATAATACACAAACACTTTTTTTTTTTCTTTTTTTTTTTTTACATACACAGAGCTGTACCATGCATTTGTATGAGACTCTGGGTTGTAAAATGAACTCCGGTACTGAACAACAAACCGGTGGGTCATGTGTAATAAATATTACCTATAATATCTTTTGCCTCATATATGAAACAATGTTAAAACAGTCGCTTGTACTAAAATTAAGATAGTGTTTGGACCCTGGAACAACAAGGAAATTGGGACTTGGGTTCCAGCATGTTAATTCACTAAGCTACAGAGAAATAGCCTAGTGGTTCATGAATTTGGTGATATAGTAAATTCAATCCTAGAGCTGGGTAGGGTGTACTTAGATTCAGTGGAAACAGGGTGAGCAAGAAATTAGCAGTACTAAAAATAAGAACTAGTCAAGATATCCCAATACTTGAGCAGTGAAACATGAACAGTCTACCTCTGTAGATTAAATAAATAGTGCAGCTTGGAATTCACTGAAGGTTACCTGGATTGATATATGATGTAGACTGGAGGGTACAACTGTCGAAACGTTGTGATAGCAACAACAAAGATAAGGTCAATAGTCCAACTGTAAATAGTTTAAATAGTTAAAACTTTACACATATTCACTAAGAATGTAATGATCCCACACTATGTAAACTCACTCAATAACTTTTCATTGCTAATACCATGGGTGTGTGTCTGTTCATGCATGTACAGTAAGTTACCTCTGATTGGTTATTAAATTTCATCAAGGCTGCACAACTGGTTCTCAAAATATTGATAATGGCTGGTGACAAACCTCATGTAAATTAGTAAGAGAATAAAGCATTAACAAATATTGATTTGTTTGTTTTCTTCTTTTCCTGAGGGAATCTTTATAAAGTTTCAACACAAGCTAACATTTGGTTATAATAGTGATCATTTGGAAATTGCTTTGTGACAGATGACGATAATGTCTGTTTACCTGGCTAATGGCACCGACTGTATCCTTGTTGATTTTTTCCGGGCCAAGATGATGTGTACGTGTCATCAGTAACATTCTGTTCAAAGTATAAAAACACAAAATCAATAAGAACATATGATCAAACAGTTACAGCTGTCATGACAGGTTTCAATCAGGCGATAGAAATTTCAGAGAAATCTAAAATCATTTCATTCTTCAGACAAGTTCGAATGAATAAAAGGAAATTGGATAGGAAACAACAAGTAAATTTTATTCCGATTCACATAAGATTTGCAAGGTTTCACAGCTCTAGCATCACTCCTTCATAGTCAGCCTATGAACTTTTCAGCCCATACGCATACATCAAATTGTACAACGAATCTGTGAGCCAATTCTTACCACATCACAATATAACACAAGGTTGTTAAGCAATATCTATTTATTAATCTTACTTATTATAAAACGCAGATTGTGTGTGTGTGTGTGTGTGTGTGTGTGTGTACGTTTATATATTGGATCGGATTTCCTACATTTTTCAACCGATTTCAACAAAACTTCACAGGACTACGTAAAATTACCTTGCGGTGGTTCTGACAGTGCCAAAAATTGGAAAAACACGATTAAGAAGCATTAATGAAAGGGGGACAACTCATATCGAGTTATACTTATTAATATCGAGTTTTACTTATTATAAAACCCAGGTTTGTTGTTTGTGTGTGTGTGTTCATTTATATATGGGATCGGATTTCCTACATTTTTCAACTGATTGCAACAAAACTTTTTTTTTGGCAGGTAGTGTTTCTTATTGTCTTGCACACTTTTTTCTTTATTTTTACATTCAGAATGCTTTAAAAATTCCATTTACAAGACAAATGTTTATAGTAAAATTCTATTCAATCGGTAGACTCATAACGATTGAAAACAATGTTTTTGTTTGAGTTTGACCAATTCATAAAAAAAAAAATAAAATAAAACTAATTAAGACATGCATGTCCGTCAACCTTAAACAATAATCTTTGTCAATTTTATTTTTCAGTCTTTATGATTGTCGATACTTGATCTATCTCTTACTGTTACATCCCCAGGCAACGCCGGGTTCTACTGCTAGTGCTTAATAAAAATTGTTAAAGTCAAGACTTCTTGTTGCTGATCAAATTGTTTTTTTTTTACAGGTAATCAACTTTTTGTGGGTTATTTAAAACCAAAACACACCTTATTATTAGAATAGATACTAGTTCATTACCTGCCCCTTTGTTGAGAGGCTTACAGCCATATGTTGAAACACTAGTTTTTGTACAATTACGAACATTAAGCAACATTGAGTTGGTCAGAACCTAAATGGGTGACCACTTGGGAATACATGGTGCTCTAAGTGTGGATATGCAGGTGGTATAATGGATAATGGCCTGAAATTGTTAATCGGGGTGTAGAGTTCCAATTCCAGTCAGGTTCGTTATATTCACTTATGTGCAAATACTTTTAGGAATGGTATGAATCCACCTCTTCTAGCCCCACCTATAGGTTAATTGGTAGGACATGTGTCAGTAAAATCATTATCATCTCTATAAAAAAAATCTTACTATCTAAAAATAGTTTCTGGCTTTAAATAACCTGCAAAGAGCTGATAAGTTGATTAGAAAAAGAATCAATCAATAAGAAAATAAAAAAAAAGAAAACTTTGTTGAGCTGGTTGCAAGATATATTTCAAATATAAAAATGTTTGTCCGTTTAAAATAATTAGAAAATGCATTCTGTTTAAATACAGGAATCATGAAAATGACTTCACCACAGCACATTTTGGCTTATCTTTTCCTGTCACCCAGAAGTTTTTGTCAGACAGGAAGGGAAATTAGCCCTTGCAATAGATATCCATCTCACTTTCATTCAAATTATGTACACATGTATATTTTAATTCAATGAGAGACACAAAAATAATTTGGCAAAATTCTTAAAATAAAAAAAAAATAAAAAATCATTAAAAAAAATAATTCTGCTTATTACCTAAAAAAAAAAAAAAAAAAATTGACTAAATTGTCTATTTCTGGAATTCATTGTCTACTGATTCATTTTCTATGGCTTATCAGCCTTATGCAGTTATTTAAAACAAAAAATATTTTTAGATTGGCGAATTGGGTGGGGGGGGGCATTAATAACAATTTAGTGATACAAGTCTTACTAATTAACCCATCACTGGAGGGAGAAGAGCTAGATTCATAACTTTTCCAAGGGTATTTGAGCTTAAGTGAAAGTAACAAACCTGACTGGAATTGGAACTTGGCTTTCTGATTAACAATTCCAAACCATTATCCATTACACCACTCACATATCCAATCCTACAGTACCTAGTATTCCCAAGTGGTCACCCATCAAAGTACTGGCCAGGCTTGACATTGCTTAACTTTGGTGATCATACAAAAACTGGTGTTTCAACATGATATGACCATCAGACTGAGCTGCTATTGATGGCATGTATAAACACTTATTACACTGGACATTAAATAGGGGATCGGTTTTCTATTGTGATTAAGTAGTGTATTTGCATATGAGTGAATGTAACAAACTGGAATTCAAACTTGGTGCACCGATTTCTTAATCAGAGCTGCAATCCATTACACCACCTGCACACCCATCTTTGAAAAGACTGTTAGTGAAAATGTACGAGCTACAAATCATAATCAGACTTCCCTTGTCTCATTCTTCATAGATAAATGACAATAGTTTTTTTTTTTTTTTATAGCTTTCATAACGCTCTTCTGATAGACATAACTATTAAATTTTTTTAATCATTTTACTACAAGAAAGACAATAAAGCCACTAAGATGCAAAGTGTTACTTAGTGTGGGATAATCTGAGGAGAGAGAACAATAAAAGAACAAGAATTAAGAAAACAGAAGATAATGATTGACATTGCATTTAAATTTTTGAAGATCAAACTTGACTGGAAAGCAAAAAGCCAGAAGAGACTTCTACAAGTGAGAAGTGTAAGAGAAAAAAAAACTATTAGCATAGAGCTAGCAATTTAAACTGTAAAATGATGAGACCTAGCTGCTAATCTAGTACTGCACATAAATTCATTAAGTCGAGATATCAAAGAGGAAAGTAATATTAATTTTGCTATAATACAAGAATATGACACAAGGCCAAAAATAAGGATAAACTCAGCAAGCCACCCAAACATACCCCAGTATTTCTTACACCAAAACAACACATTCTTACCATTATTACTACCAGGCACCATGATACCTCAAATCTCTATGTAGTCCTAATTAGTTCCCATATGTACAATGAAAGAGAAAAGCTCATCAGAATAATTACCATGAAAATATTTATAGGAAAGGCAGAGGGAAGCTACATTACAGTGGTGGGAAAGTGATGAAGCTGAGATGCCAGGTCAGGACCAATAACATTGCAGATTCTTCTTTGGATTTTATCAAGAATCTCTAAATGCATATGAAACACCAGACCATATGTGGAAGCAATATTTAATGCATGAGTAAATGGTATACTTATAAAAGGTGTAAGATAGATTCGGGAGAGAAAAATTGTCTAGAATGACACAATAAACCAACTTTCTTAGTAGCAGACCTAGCAATTGATTCAATATAATATTTCCACTTGATATAAGTAAAAAACGTTAGCCCAAGAAGGTGTAATGAATCGCAAGCTTTCTTGGCTTTCAATATCAGACAACAGACGCTGTTTAAATAATGTGTAAATAATCCATTGTAGCTAAGCACACCGCACACTAATCTCACATAACAACCAAACAAAGAACAACATTAGAAATCAATGCGTTAACCCTTTGCTAACCAAACTTAGCATTTAAACTAAGCAAACAGTGATATTCTAGGATCAGTATGCTCAGCTTGGTTGTTATGGTGAAATTAGTTGTTTCTATAAAGGAAACCTTCGGCATTCATTGATCGAATGGTTATTGTTAGCGGAAACTTATAGAATCTCTTAAAACAGTTTTTCAACACCATTAGATTTCTCAAACCTACTTTATTACCAAATATGATTTTCTCTTGAAATTTCTTGTAGAAAGTTAACAGCTTGGTTATATTATTATTATTATTTTCTTTTCTGCAACCCATTTTTTTTTGTTTTGGCTGCTGTTAGAAGAGTTCAAGTTTTTAAGTTTTTGTATGACTCTTTGAACACAGAATAGGCTGGACTAGAGGTAGCTTTGACCAGGCTCAACATTGCTTAACTTTGGTGATCATACTGGAACCAGTGTTTCAACAGGATATAGCCATAAGCTCATAACAATTTTAGTATGGGCAATAAGGAAATTGAATATAGAATAATTTGCATGAGATGTGATTTCACCAAACACAGCAAATTGCTACAAAACCAAAACATTAACCTGAAAACTCAAGCCATGTTCTTAAATAGCCTCATAAAAATCGAGATTTCTTTATGGATGTCATGCATAGTGCCAAACAGTACTGGCTGTTTTGTCAATGAATGCCAAATGTTTCCTTATAGGGAAATGACTAATATTATCATAGACACTTGAGGAAAACCAAAAGTCACAATGACTACATTAAATATGTCTTCAACCAAATAAACCCTATAAATCTTAAAGATAATCCTCCATCAGATCTTGTAAACTTCTTCTATGAGCTATGTCTGTCAGGATGTTGGTGATCATGGCTCTCCACAATTTCTTGTCCCTTGTAGCTCTTAATAACTTTTGTCTTTTTTCCATCTTTCATATGCCTTGTTCTGCCAACAATTTACTCAAGCTCACTAGGTAGGTTGTGCATTGCTTTCCCCCTTACTTTCAATCTGTCCTGTGAGTATCAAATTTTCTAAGCCTTCCTTCCTCATTATGTGCCCAAGGAACCCCAACTGTCTCTTCCTAATGTTAAGTATTTGTTGCCATTGTCTCTAAAACTTTATTGTTGCTGATATGTTCTCTACATGGTATTCTAAATATCCTTCTGTAAAACAATATTTATGTTGCTTCAAGTCTCTTCATCATCTGTGAATGTCCAGCATTTACTGCCATACAGGAGGACTGGTACTATATAACAGTTTAGTACACTTTTATTTTTTTATTTTTTTTATTTCTAATGATAATTTTCTGTTTCTTAATGCTTTGCTCAGATTTTGGTTAATAATTAAAATTCCCAGGAGAGCAGAATGAATGGTTGAGAAAAAAAATGAAAAAAGAAACAGGTAATAATTATGTTTTAAAATAATAAAATACATAGAGGGATCCACACTCGGCTTTACTGTCTAATTCCAATATCATAAGATTTTGGAAGATCCAAATCAACCCCATTGAGATGACACAACAGCCCCAACCAAGGAGGGAAAAGAAAACCGACACATAAGCTTGGTATTGCTCAACAAAGCTAGCAACTAAGAAAAGAAGAGACAGAGATGGGAGAGAGAGTGTGAGAATAGAGAGAGGGATCTGGGTTACACCTGAAGCAGGGATATGTTGCAGGGCTATAAAGCCCGTGTTGAGTCTGTACTTGACAAGACTGGCACATGTTAAGTGGCTCTGGATAGATATGCCTGTCCTTAAGGATATGATTGAAAAAAGGAGATGGATATGCTGTGTCCTGTTTCACCAACTGGCAAATGTTTTGACCAAGAGTGGAGTAACTGCACATGACCTAATGAAGGCAATTGAAAAGCATTAAAAACAAAAAAGAAAATGGTTAAAAATGTTACCAGGATTGAACCCCGGAACTCAAAATAACAAGAATAAGTATTTATCCACACACCCACATTGCAATAGTATGTGACACAATGTCGAGCTTTACTGTCGAAAGCCATTCAAAAATTGCTCAAGCCATTTCAGAACTTCCTCTTTCGGTGACCCTTCAGACACCAGGTAATAACACAAGCTATTAGGGGAGGAAGCAGAGGATAGGAACTTGTTGAGAGCTGCAAGGGATAGAGGAAGGTGGAGAGCCATGATCACCTATGTCCTGAAAGGACATGGCACATAAAAAGAAAAAAAGAAGTATGGGACTTCATTTACCAACAGGTACCATGTTTCTGTTTTTTTTTTCCAATTACTATATGTACCAGTGTTCACCGATACCAGTAAATTTCTTTGTAGCTATTATGAATTTAATATATGTACAGATGTTGCTGCTTGCAAAAGAACTAAAACAATTTCCAATAAATGCCGGATGAAATGCACTAAAATTTTTCTTTCCCAAAAAATATCCTGGTAATTAAACTTTTCCTCATTTCTATTTAAAAAAAAAGAAAAAAAAGTAACAGTTAATGTAGATGTCATATAATGGTAAGGTCATAATTTTGATTGTTTTTAATTGTGATATGTGCATTGTTTTTTTTGCTTAACTATTCCATGCCAATGCATGAGTGTATCCAACAGCTCCAGCAAATACGGTACATCTATCATGGAGATGGTATGGGAAGCTCTTCTTCAGCACATTCTGTAGGCTTGTTAGTTCAGATGATCACTCATTTTGCTCCCTCAGTAATAAATTTGCTAATAAATTTGAAGACACTGATAACTATTTGTTTAAATTTTATTAAATGAACTGATTGATTTCTATACTACTTACATTATTCGGACTATTGTCCTCATCTTTGTTGCCATAACTGAACCCTTTATTTCGCTCACTGGGGTAGACTGTTCTAATTCCACATCCCAGTTATCAGTTATCTCCTGTTAATTCCCTTCTCCAAGTTCTCCACTGTCTTAACAGAGTATTGAACTCACACTCTTTGGGTTCTGTCATTGGATCTAACTAACACCTTTATCCACTGTGCCATTGAGGACATCTGTGTATGAATTTCTAGGTATTATAAACCTAATGTCATCAGCAATCATTTTTTACCAGTGCTCATATTGCAATTTTTGCTGTTATCATTGCAGAATGGTCAGTGGTCATTGTGATTCTGTGGTGATTTCAGGTGTGAAATCCTCCCACTCATCATAATTAGGCAAAAAAAAAAAAAAAAATTTATCTTTGATATCTATCATCATCATGAACGAGCTAGCTCAGACATTCGTGAGTCTATCATGCCATCCATCATGGTACTGCATCAAGATTAGAAGGTCATTAGAGTAGCATCCTGTGTCTCTACTGTGTCAATGTAGGTGGTTGCTGGGTAACCAACCCATCTCTCATCATGGCTAGGTGTCTAGAGAAGTAGATCACTTGAAAGTTCTTGTTTTGCTTGCCAGCAGTGTCCTGCAAAGTACATTCTGTGTTCACGTAAGATTGTAAAAATATCAGGGATAGGTCTGTAAAGCTGTGATATAGCTGGATGTTGTTGCCAAAAGATGTTAAGAATAGCTCTCAGTATCAGAGAGTAGGTTTCATCAAGGTTAGACTTAAGGGTTTAAGTTAATATCCAAGCAGTAGCACCATACATTAAAACTGACTCTACAACATCATGAAGGCAGCTCCAGTTGAGGTTGTCTGGTAGATCAGATGTAAAATATTTGACAGATTTTATTGATTCACAAGAATTTCAAAGTATATGAGTATTAAAGAATTGTTAATCTTTTTATGTAGCCTGGTTAATGGTATTTCAACAGGAAAATTATTCTAGCAGTAATTCAGAATAAAGGAAGAGATCTCAGAGCAGCAACTAGAGGAGGAGGGTTAAAACTGCCTTTCTTGTCACCTGGTCTCTCTCTGCATCTGTCTCTTGGTATTGGTTGGTTTATATAAGAATTTCACAAACCTCTGGCATTGATTTAGTGTATGATTTTCAATATCATGACCTTTCTTTGTTTGAAACCCAAATGCCTTTTGTGAATTGCTTTATTCCAAAAGCCACTATATTATACTTGGTATGATATAAACATGTTTGGTATTTGATATTATTTTAAATAAACATAGCGAGAAATTTGATTTTGAAATTTGTAAGAGACCATAAATCTTGTCATATTGCCCTGCCCTGCCCCTGGAGGCAATTGGGTAGGTTGGTAAAGCACTAGTTTTACTAAATCTTACCAAGTTCTACTTGGTTTATTTCAGGTTCAATTCTTCCTAGAACTTTTTCTAAACTCATTTAATGGATTCTAATTATTATTTTTAATTCAGTCTTTTTTTTTTTTTCCCTTTTTCTCCTTGACACTTAACCCTTTGAACCATGTTTCCTGAACAATTTTAACCCTTCTGCCTGAGCTCTGAGTCAAAATTTGCAAATAATTGGTATGTAATGTTTCACAGTAGATATAAAAATAGTTACAAGTGTTTAGCCACCGTTCAACCAGTGACTGGGCATTAAGTCATTTTTCTCTACCACTGGTAAACCAGTGGTCAGGGCTCAAAGGATTAATTGCTCCAAGTTTTCTTACAGTTTAATCTTAATTAATTGTTGCTTCAAATCATCATTAGGCATTCTCATTAATTAAAATGTTGAACCAGATTTATCACCCTATTGTATTCCTCATGCAGTAAAATGTTGAACCAGGGTCACCACCCTGTTATATTGTCAAATCTTGATCTGTATTCTGGGATGTTGTTCACCTTTGTTCTGAACCAGATTTGACAATGATCCAGGTTTACAGCCATATGTTGAAACACCAGTTCTCATCCAATCACCAAAGTTAAGCACTATTGCACCTGGTCAGTACCTAGATACATGACTGCTCAAGACTACCAGGTGCAGTAAACTCAAATGTGCGAGTGATGTAATGGATAAAGGAACAGAATGAGAAATCAGAGAGCTGTGTTTGAATTCCAGTCAGGTTCATTATATTCACTTACATGCAAATACCCTTGGGAAAGGTATGACCCCACCTTAAAGCGGTGGTTCCCAAATGGTGCAGCATGCCTCATAGGTGTGACAAAAGAGGACATCACATGAGGTAGACAAAGATTTAGAAACAGTTTCAAAAAATTCATATGCCAAAAATAAATGATTTTAAATTTAATTTATTATAATGGAATACTTGTAATTGTATGCACGAGTCCCAGTATGAATAGTTATAAATAATTACTGACTGATTTTATCATTGTGCTATTTTTGCATTATATCAGGCATTAAGAATATGGTCACTAAGGTCCACAAATTGGAGGAGATAGTTATCAATGATAATGTTCTGACTTTGAATCCATGGTTATCTCCTTTTAACCCTCTCTCTGTTTTTTTTTTTTTAGTTATTTTTAAATGTACTTTTTATCACATAAAATTTGGTAAGGCACAAGCAAATGCAGCCCAGAGAAAAAAATTTGGGAACCATTGGCTTAAAGAATAAAACTTGCATCAGAAAATCATTATGATCTCCCACAAATTCTTCCAACCCAAAAATATGTTTCAGCTTTAAATAACTTCAAAAAGGTTGATAAGCCATAAAAAACCCCCCAAAAACCAACAATGTTCCAGAACACCAGACACCCAAGAAAGGCCAATATATTGGGAAAATGAACCAAACATATACAACAATCAAAAACGTCCTCAAATAAATCAGTAAAGATGGAATATGTTATGACAAATTACAAAATTCAACAGAAAGATGGCACAAGGTCATAAAGGTCAAGGAAAACATTTTGCTGAATAAGTTTGTTTTTTTAAAAAAAAAAAATACTGGATATTTTTTGCCTTAATCTAATAAATCTCACCTTCCAACTATATCTGTAGTAGACACACCTGCTGTCCGCTGACATTCCCTACAAAAAAGAAAAAAAAAAATTAGCCGTCTTAATAAAAATAATTTTATTATGAATAAAATTATTTTTTTTAATCATTTCATTCTGTCGCAATATAATTTCTCACACATCTTTAGAATATGAAAAGACAGTTTTTTTTTCCTTTTAAGTCAATTTAATTATCAGGGTTTCTTAGAAATCTTATTTTCAGCCCATCTTTGAACAAATTTAATGACCTGGATTTTTCAGGAACCCTGTCTCCAGCCTGCCTTTGAATTGGCAAACATAAAATTTTGTTAGTGATTTCAGATAGCCGTAACAGTAGAGTCCTTTGAAAAACTGACCACCCAAAATCTGACTGGATGGTCCCCTTTTCCGGTTGGTGAAACACAAGTGGACAGAAGAGGGTGCTAGGTCCCCAACCAGTATCCATACAGTGAGTAGTCAGTGAAATGACCATCAGTCGGTCAGTGAAATGGCCAGCAGTCAGTGAGACAGCCAGGCAATATGTAGGGGTTCTTTGTGGCCACAAGTTAGTAAAATACCAAAAGATCACTTCCTCAAAGCAGAATGAAGATATTGCCAGTTAAGTGAGAGATCATATTTTTTTGCTTCTTCCCAACCACTGTCTTGAAAAACATTTGATTTGTCATTATTTTTTGCTGACAAAACTGGCACATAGCAATGGCTCAGTGTATTTGCATACAGCCAACCTTGGATGTCATCACAGTTCATGCAGTGACATGTGAATCACATCATCACAACTCCAAGCAAGGCAATAAAGCCACTGAAGGGTTACTGAGTGTAAAAGAATGAGAAAAAGAAAAACATCATTAAGGAGAGAGAATAATAAAGGAACAGGAATTAATAAAGCTTAATTTTTCCCCAAAAATTAATGAAAATTTATTGTACTAAGCTATGCACCCTAGTAAAACCAACTGTACTTTGTACTCCATTACCTGTTTGCACTTCTCCCCAAAATTTGGTTTTGATCGATCAATGTTTGGCTATTTTAAAGGGTGTGATGGACAAACTAATGGAAATCACAGAATTTCATATGTAGTTGTTTTGATTCAGTAGCAATTTGTGGTGTTGGGTGAAATTACCTCTTGCGCAGCCAATTCTATGTTCAATTTACATTTCTCCTATACTTAATTTATTATAATTGATCGATACATGGTGGTGTTTGAAGTGTTTAGTATTTACTAATTCCATGCCCTGAATTTTTATGATGACTCAGAGTAAGTGCCATCACCGTTTTCATTCCAATTGCAGATTATAGTTTCTGTTTTGGAAAGGTTTGCCTTAAGTCCTATTTCTTGGAATACTTGGTAAAAGATGTGGATTCTTGTTTCAAGATCATTTTTATCCTAACTATGAATACTTATGTCATCAGACCCCCATCACCTCCACCAACCTCATCATCAGTACTTTGGCCTTGAGAGGGAAAGCAGGATTGCTGTTTTCTGTTAGTAAATTGGTTTGGGATGTGGCATGGAATGCTTTATCCCACTAGGCCATAAATGGCCAAAATGTTGTGATGACAACAAAGACATTAGTCCAAATGTAAATAATTTAAATAATGGTAAGTGCTCATCCCAGAAATTCTTTCTTTTTTATAGTTACATTTTACTTACTTATATCGGCCTGCATTCTTCACTAAATGGTAAGTATCTGTGCCATCAGCAGTCGTTGTAATATCATCTGCAAATAAAAAAGGAAAAATTCTAAGAAACAGAAAAAAGAAATACATACAAAATCAAAAAAAAAAAAAAAAAAAAAATCATCAGAAGAGCAAAACCAACTGTTTGTTTTTCATTATCACAATAGTAAAGTTTCCCAACATTTAATAGATCATTGTTATCAATGAAGCAGGCAATAACAGGGCCATAACTGATATCCATGATGAAGGATTCAATCCCCGCCCCGCCCCGCCCAGGAACTCATCCACAATTGGTGCAGTGGTGACCTAGGATTTGATCCCAGGAACTAATCCAAAAACAAAGAGAAAGAGAGGGAAAAAAAAAGAAAAGAAAAAAGAGAACAAAGAACAACCTCACCACTCAAGAATCTCCAAAATACAAAGTGACTATTTCCCTCTATCCCTCTTGAATCTGTACAAAATTCGGATTGTGATTTGTTTTCTAAATGACAGTAGATACAGATAATAGTCCAGTTCATAGAGTAATATCAAGTGGATCAAAGATCTCACTATTCACTGGAAAAGCAGTAGAGTTAAGGTTTTGGTTGGCAGCATTAAATAAAAAGGAACATATCTACAAACTAACAGATCCATAACTTGGCCTATGATTTCTTTGACGGAATCACATCAGAATGGATTGGTGAATATTTGGACGACCACAAAGATGTCCCCAGTTTGGAGTTGTTTGAACTATCCATACAATATGGAGAATTTGTGAACTCTACAGATGCTGCTAATAAGAATGAAACAGAAAAAAAGCAGAGACTCTAGTAGAACTAGCTAATAGAATGATGAAATTAGTTTGGATAGCATATCAGGATACAGAACTGTTGGGACCACCCACCTTCTCATGAGAATGGACTGATCTCTCTACGATATAGGACAGTGCTAGAGAGATCAGAGAGATGAGGTGACCATCTCACTTCCGTCTCTCGACCGGAAGATACCGTTGGACTTTAGACTCTTGCTGATTGTTACTACTAACCTGCGTTCGTTTACTACTAATCACTGTTATAAATACCTCTTCAAATATACCAGTATTTTTCCCTACATATGTGTTTGTCCTTATTTAAATGCACACATGCGGGAACACTCCCAACATCTCAACAAGAACAAAGAGAGAGCCAGGCAATGCAAGTACAACTCGCACTAAGCAGCTCGTTTATAAAAGAAGGCATAGCAAGGAAAAGTCCTGTATCATTATCTGGGGCATAGACAGTGTCAAGGGAGAGAGAGAGAGAGAGAGAAAGAGAGATTAGACAAGAGACTGAACCTGCCCCAAAGAGGTAGTTGGGAAAGAGAACAATGAAACAGGGATGACTGGAGTTCAGACAGAACCTGTTACGGGCAGGGTTAGTGAAACCCACATACCATGTCAAGGGTACCTAAAGTTGAGGGGCAGAATGAAGGGTGATCAAGGGAAAGAAGACTACCCAGTGAAAGATAATGTTTTAAATGTAGCAAAAGTACCCATTTTAACCAGAATTGCCAGTATTACAGAGTAAGAACTACAGAGGCAAAAGGGGATGCATATCCTAGAGTTAGTTCAGATTACTCCCAATTGACAAACTGGGAGTGTGGAAGGACAACACCTAACAAAAGAAACTGTCCTGATAGATTAAGATGACTAAGAGGGGGACAAAGAGATGACCCCAGACTAGAAGAAGACAAGAGAGGGACATTATTTAGATTGGGGTATAACAGACCAACTGTGATATGTATTTTTTTTTTTTTTATCAAGTGTTAGTCTGTCTGTATTGTTGCATTGTCATGGAAGAGAACAATAATTTTCTTACTAACAAGTGCAGGGTGCTTTTCAACTGAACTTTTATGGACATGTTGCTGCTGTTGGATGTATGAATGTGCATTTAGTGTTACATTGCATTTTAAGAACTCTAAATAAATAATATCTAGCCAATCCCACTACCTGCACAACTTTACCATTCTTCCAGGGAGTTCTTCTTTTGGAGTTAGTCACAGAGATTAATCATTTAACTGTCATGTATGATTAGTAATAATTGTTTTCTGCTGACATGAAGTGGAAAGATTACATCAAATCAATTGCTATGTCTGCTGCTAGAAAAGTTGGTTCTCTGTGCCATGAAAGACAATTTTATCTATTTTACATATTTAGAAGTCAACACTTCACCCATGCTTAGAATATTGTTGCAACATACGGTCTAGTATTATCCTTCTTAATAAAATCCAAAGAATCTGCAATGTCATTGGTCCCGACCTGGCATTTTGGGTTCAGTCACTTTTTCACCACCGTAATATAACTTCCCTGTAACTTTTCAATAAATATTTTCATGGTAATTGTTCTGATGAACTCTATTCTATGGTACTGAGACTTTATGAATTTGAGTGCAGTACTAGATTGGCAGCAAGGTCTCATCATTTTATAGTTGAAATGGTGAGATTAAACCCTAAGATTTATGCTATAATTTCTTTTCTCACAGGGGAGCTGGAAAATTTGATACTCACAGGAGAGATTGAATGCAAGAGAGAGAAAACCAATGCATAACCTATTTAGTGAGCTTGAGTAAATGGATGGTGGAATAAGATTTAGGAGAGATAACAAAAAGACCTTAAATTCTGGTAAGATGCAAAGGATCCTTACTTTTTGATGGACTCAAATTCTGGCAAAATGTTTTGTTCAGGGATCAGTTTCTCAGAAAAATAAAACAGATTCTAGCATTAACTGCAAATTCCAACAACACACAGTTGATTCTTACTTTACAATGGACTTATTCTGGCAAAATGCAGCAGATCCCGGTTTTGTGCAGGGTTCAATTCTCAAATATAGAAAACAGATCAGAGCTTTAACCTGAAATTCCAATCACATACAAATCTACTATTTAATGGGTAGCTCATTGAAATGTTGGACGAGTTCCTCAACTTGTAATTAATATGAAAAGTAAAGAAAAAAAAGTCAACTTAATAATAATAATTATTATTATTTGTCTTTATAGCTGAAGAGAGAAACAGATTCAACATTGCAAAGTAAAATGCAAACTGCCTCAGCCAGAGTTTGAACTTGGTTCAGAGATTCCATTCTTCATACTGTTACCTTTAAGCCATTTGCACCTTCTGATTTTATCTTCTGTACAACATTATTCATGAAATACCAAACTATGAAGACACAGAGCAACATAAAGTTCAATATTTTATAAGTAAAATGCAAAAGCTGCAAAAATTACAAATCACAGTCATAAGGCAAATATTTATATTAATTATTATTTGTTGCTATTATTAATTATTACTTGATACTGTTTACACTATTTGCATTCAGACTCATTATTGTTGTTGTTGTTATCACTATGTTTCGGTCATTAGGTGGATATCGATCTGGATAACCAAAAAGGAATTCTGAACTGTTGGTTCCAGTCTAAGTGGGAATGACTGCAAAAACATCCCCCCTCCCCAAATTTATAGACAAATCCTACAGATGCATGCTGGGATTTCTTCAGAGCTAATAAGATTGGCCATTTCTCAGTTTTATCTGCCATATTTTTGTTCTTTCTTGTCTTGAAGTCAGAATGTTACGATCACTTGACCATATCCTTTCCATGTGTGAACACTAGTCTTACTTTGTAAACTTTTTGTTGCTTTAATTTTGTCTTGCATAGATAGATATATCTGCTTAGTATTATCTTTACCCTTTTCTTATTGTTTATTGGAAACTTTGTCAATTCTGTTTGTTGGGCATTTACATTTAACCAATTACTTTATTTAATCTACAGGGGGAAGCTGTTCTTGTTCCACTACCCACATTTAGGAATATCTCATCTAGTTCTTATTTTAGTAATGCTCAATTATTGATCACTCAGTTTCCACCAAGTCCAAGTACACACTACCCAACTCAGGGATTGAATTCACAATTACTATGTCACCAAATTCACAAACCAATGCTTATAATCCACTAGGCTATTGTCCTATACAACAATCCTCTGTGGTGAACTTGGAGCATTAAACCTAACCTGTCTGCTGATTAGTGCTGTAGCTGCCTGTCATGCTTGACTGCTGCTGAAGACTTATTATCGTGTGTTTTTCTTTCTTTATTAGCAGCTTCTATATTGTATTTATTTCTATGTTAGGCCTACTAAGGAGATTCGCATGGCTTAGCATATGCACTGATTTTTTCAGACTTAAGTGTTCTTCCTTGTCCTGTATTTTCACTTCATTCTACAGGGGGCTGATGATTACACTTTTCCCTCCATACATAATCAGTCAATAAGAACTAGACAAGATAGCACTAGAAATGGGCAGTGGAATGAGAACAATCTATCCCTATAGATTAAATAAAGGATTCAGTTCAGAATTCCCTGTAGCTTACCCAGAATAATATACACCTGATGAAGGCTGAAGGGCACTAAGGCCGAAACATTGTGATAACAACAAAAATGAGAACAATAGTTTGAATGTAAATAGCATAAATAATGACAATTCAGATGGAAATTAATTAACTATTAAAAATCTGGTCTGGTTGATTTTTTTTAGAGGCATATCAACACTTTGGGCTATTTAATGATGAAATGTAAATATTTTGAACACAATTTTATGGCTTCAACTAAATATACTTTGAATGCAATTGTGTGCCTTCAACTATAGGTAAAATGTATTGTTGGTAATTTTACTATAAATAGGTATTGTTTGTAATTTTTTAATATAAAAATATATTGCTATTATTTTTACTATTAAAATGTATTTTTATACTTTCATAGAATTTTATTTTTGTTTGGGAGTTTACTATTTGGCCATAGCTGGGACCCTAACAGGTGCCACCACCCCAGGTCAGGGTGGACCTGGGAACAACAGCAATTATGAGGTGACTCCATGCTCTTCAAAACCTCCCAATCACATAGGCCTTGCTGCTGGATGTAGTTTATCATCATACCCAGGACTAAACTGTTAAAACTGGTAGCACAATTACTATCATTTTTTAATAGTTCAGGTAACAAACATTTTTTTATCTACTTACCACCATGGACACAGAAGTCACAATTATATTTGTCCATAACCTCCAGTGTTGTAACATATGGGGCGTCTTCAATAACCTGAGCAAGAAAAAAATATATTAATGAAGAAATATCCAAAAAGTTATTAACTGAAGAAAAATAAATAAGTGAATCTGTTTTATTTTTTATTTTTTTTTACTTATAATCAATTATTCAATACATTAATATAAACATATCACGGCTATGCTTTGTAAAGAAATATTTGGGTACATCTACATCTGTTGCAGGAAGTTAGGCCAATGGAGGTTAGGGATGTCATTCTATGACTACACCAAAAGGTTCCGATCAACCTATGAAGACTTTGGACTTGTCGAATTGTTTCTTCTGCTCTTTATTCCCCCCCCCTTTTCCTATGGCTTACTTTAGCTCTGAGTGCATAGTTAGCATGACAACCATCAGACCCAAGTTCAAATCTCACTAAAGGCAATCTGTCAAGAATGGTATACTTTTGGTATCAACATGGGGAGATAATCCCAGTGTGCGACACCTTGGGGTAGCACTGGAAAAAAAATAATAAAATCACACCGCAGGTTGATCCAGGCCATGTGAATAGAATCCAATAGATAAAAAGTGCTTGGAAATGGTTGATAACTGTGCTAGCCCAAAGTCACAAGTCATTGTGACCAAAGTTTTAAGCATTCTGGCCTGGTTCAACTACTGATCGTGCCAGATTACATGCTCTCTACCAGAAACTGTAACTAAGGTCCACTTAGCAAAGTTGCACTATAAACTATAGCTAAGCTCTGTGGGCGTTGAAGAAACACAAATGTGCCTGAGCAAGCATCTACAACAGGGATAAAAAAAACACCCTAATAAACTGGTATACTTGGAAATGAGCAGTCAGCCATTAACTTTATCATAGAAGATTGATTGCTAGATCCTTTAAATCCATTTTATCCTCTCAGCTATCTCCATTACCAACAGATGCATTCCATTTCAAAAGCTTCTAAGACCCATTATTTTCTGTGGAGCAGACTCCCATATGGATGCCTTCTCAAACACTGCAATCTTAACCTCATCAAGTCTAGGGTCAATAATTATCAATGACCTTCCCAATGTCATCAGTTCCCAACTTGGTATCTATGCTGATGACATAACTATTTACTCCTGTCTTAATAGTAAGTCCAATAAAGTAAAACTGGCAGCTGATCATGAAAATGACCATCAATCTGTTGTTAACTGGGGCAAGAAATGGCTTTTAAATTTTACCACTTCCAAAACGAAAGTGCTAGCTTTTGGTCATCACAGAGAACCATTTTTGCCTTCCATAAGCATGGCTAATGCTAACCTCCAGATCAACCCAATCCACTTTCTTCATCTCATACTTTCAATTGACATGAAGTAGAATGATTATATTGAATCAAATGTTAAGTTTGTTGCTAAAAATGTTGGTTCATTCTGTTGTGCCATACCAGCCAATTTTTCTCACCAGAATCAATCTTGTACACTTATAAATCTACTATTAATCCAGGCATATATATAATATATATATATATATCTCAAACTTCTTTACAAAATCCAAAGAAGAGTTTGTAATGTTATTGGTCCTGACCTGGCATCTTGACTTCAGTCACTTTCTCAGTGCTGTGATATGGCTTCCTTCTCTATTTTCAACAAACATTTTCATGGTAATTGTTTTTAGATTTCCTCCTTGTTACCTCAACCACATGAATTTAAACATACTACTAGATTGGTTACTAGGTTTCATTATTTTACCAATTAAATAGGTAGAACAGAACTTATGATTACATCTAACAGTATCTTTTCTTGCACATGTCACTTGTGGAACTCTCTTCCAGTTTGTTGCTTCTCTGCCCTCTATGATCTTCAAAAATCTAAATGCAATGTCAATCACCATCTTCATTCTTTCTGAATCCTGTTCTTTTATTGCCCTTTCTCCACATTAACATCTCATTTTCTTTCACTTTCACCTTAGGGGCATTATCAACTTGCCTAAGGTGAGAAAAAAAATCTATCCTTCATAAACTTTTTACCTACTTTTTCTTTTCTTACCTTCTTATCATACACCACATTCAGTAACCTTGTACATTGAGTTGCTCTTAAGCCTTATATTAAGTGAACTTTAGTAAAAAAAAAAAAAAAAAAAAAAGAGCTTGTAAGCAATTTCCCCTGATTAAAAAACTGATATTACAAAGTGAGTCAAAGGAAATTAGCCTATAATTTTGCCCATATGATCAAAATATAAAAACCTTTAAGAGATTTAACTCATCAAAAGAGTAGATAAAAAAGATATCCTTCCCTGTTGACAACCTTTGAGCCCCATGAGCCATAACATAAAAATCTGCAATAAAACCATCTAATTATTTAAGCTTTTAAATTGCTATCATAAATAATATAAATGAAGGATATAGTGTGAATAAAATAAAACTCTTTCAATGACTAATGAATTATGACAAGAACTGTTATCCCCCACTACTCTTTTTTATTTTAATCATAATTTTTAAAGTGTAGAATAAATTTTAATAAAAATGAACAAAGCATGCTTGAATATATAAGTGGCATATTATATACATGAACTCTCTTCAATAGCAATATCAGTACATGTCAATGGGACCAAGTTTATATGGCACCGAGTAGGTCATTATTATTTTGCACACAGCCCCTTGGTTGTTACACACACACACACACAAAAAAAAACCCGATAAAACAAACAACATCTCTATCTATAAAAGGCAGGATGTGTGTGTGTGTAACAAATGCACGGACGCAATTTTCTGCGGATTTGCACCAAAATTTACATGCATGTGCTCCAAGTTAGTGGGAAGGCCAAGATCGACTTTGCATTTCCCAACTACCATCGATAGTGGAAATAATCAATTTTTTCATGCTTCTACGGCAGTTTTCATGTAGTTTGCGGCCATTTTGTACTGGCCAGAGTGAGAGCCTATAGCTGGCTGCCACGAATAGGCAGGAAGATTCTACTGGCCAGCGTGAGAGCCAACAGCTGACTGACACAAATGTTAACTAGCATGCCAAAAAATTGATAGCTGCATTCATCACAAGTGAGAAAAATTTAAATCTGCATGGCACTTTAATTCAATTGACTCATTCGCTTGCTTAAACTCAACGTTGATTCTGATTCCACAGAACTGGGCTGGGTGTGAAAAAGTATTTGTTAACATTCTTTTTTCATTCGTTTTTTTCAGTTACGAGCCCTTTTTTAAAGCTGATCATTTTGTGTTCATTTTGTTTAGTTCTTTTTTCATAACAGATTTAATGTTTAGTATAGAGCTTAGAAAAAATTTGCAGTGTGAGATAGGCAAGACATAAGGCATGTAGGCAACATCAGCACGGCAATGGGCACTCCTTTAAAGGCAAGGAAAGGCAAAAATATTTTAAGTCAAGTGATAGCGATTGCTGTATGAGTCGTATGATTTTTGAATCAAGCAAGGGCAACGCCAGGCCATGCTGCTAGTATATATATATATATATATATATATATATATATATATATATATGATATATATGAATAATATATATTTATTTTTATTTACTCTTGACTTTTGGAAAAAAGAAAAATAAGTTACTCCCCTTGATTTTCCAACATCCCTTCTTGTTAACGTATATTTTCAAAATAAGCACCTCTCTAAATTAGAATTTATATTTCTTATTTTCAATCTTAAATGTTATTCTGGGCCTAAATTCAAATTCAAAATTAAACTACAATTCATTTAAATATTTTAACAACACCCCAACAATAAAGTATCTTGTTAGATGCAGAAAATTTTATAAAACTGGTGTCAGCCCATAATAAAAATAATTCTAACACTTGAAAATTGCTTCAGCATGAAACTCGGAATTGTGCAATTAAAATAAGATGCAAATATTTAAGCAAACTGTTTATAATAAACAGTATAAAATATATTTACTGGCCTGAATATCAGATAAATATCGTAGAAAATATGTGTCCTCCGACAGGAAGCAAACCAGTATCTTACACAGAACCATCTTTTGGCCATACATGCTATACCATTTAGCCACAGAGGAAGCGTCCGGTGAGTAAAGTCAAATTGCTTTTTTTAAACAACAAATTTCCCTTGTTTTTTCTCGAACAGTAATATATATGTGTGTGTGTGTGTGTGTGTGTGTGTGTATAAAAAGGAAGTTTTTGTAAGTCATATTACAGCCCCCACTCAAAATATTATTAAAAACTGAAACATTTAGACAAGGTTTTAAAACACGCCCAATACATTTGAATAACTTCAGTTGACATAAACAAAATAGCCATTGTTTACACTATTCAAGGTCAAGTGAGAAAGGCTTTGAAAGGAGGAATAATATAACACATGCACAAGGGTTGCATATTATATGGTTGTTATAATTCTATACAAGTTTTTGCATTATCAAGACTATCATATATAATCTAACCTTTTTTATTTGACTAAAACTATTTTAACAATCCCAAAAACCTTCTTTAATAGCTGATTTGTATGGTGTGTCTGCCCTGTCAATGATGGAAAAAGAATCAAAATTGCATTTTGGTTTACACTGATCATTATTTGACAAATGTCTGAAAATGGGATTTTTTAATCACCATCCAAATATTCCATTACATGTTCATGAATATTTACAAATTACCAATATAACAAACTTTACAGTTACTTCATTCAAATTTATATACAATATGTGCTATAGAATTAATCAGTATCTTATATTTATCTGAAAATGAAAAAACAATTTTCCAAGTTATCAAAAATTCCTTTTATATTCTTATATTAGCGATATATCTTATCAGCTGTTCCAAGATTTCTTTCATCATCTATGAATTCTCTTGGATTTGTTTTCAATTCACTGTCAGCGTAAGAACCCCAAAAATAAAAGAAATTAAAAACAAAAAATAATCTCTCACCAGCCTCTCCTATAGCAATATTTATTTCATCTGTGAAACGGTCAACTGATATTTTTCTCAATTCATACTGTATAAGTACATACCTAAGCAATTGCGATAGTTAACAAGTTTGTCACTTTAAAAAATTTACTAGTATTTGGTTGATTTCGTTTAGCAGTATATCAACCTCTATGACTTATTTAATGCTGAAATCTAAATATTTTGAATGCAATTGCATGCCCTCAACTAAAAATAAAATGTATTGCTGGTCATTTTATTGTTAATATTTATTGTTGGTCATTTTATTGTGAAATTGCATTGTTGGTCAGTTTACTGTGAATATGCATTGTTGGTCAGTTTACTGTGAATATGCATTGTTGGTCAGTTTACTGTGAATATGCATTGTTGGAGTTCACTTTTTGCATATAGCTGGACCCTAACAAGTGCTACCATCTTGAATTTGCTATTGTAGTGGATTTGGTTTTCCCTAAGTAAGCTTCAACTGTAACCTTGTGCCAGACTATTTTAAACTTACTAAATAAATTATTTAATATGTCGGAGGATGTACAAACAAATAGTTATCAGCACAGAAATTGGAATCAATGTGCAGATTTTTAATTCCAGCTTTGGCTGTTACATTTCCTTTCACACAAGGCATGAGCCCATCTCTTCTCTCTCTCTAGCTATTGATTAAATAGCAGGGTAGACTGGGCTCTCTGGTAATAGCTGGCAACCAGTATAAGAGAAGGAAACAATGAATTCGAAACCAGACAAAAAGCAAAAGCAACAGGAAACTACTCTACTATCTTTCCTAAGAAGTCATGGCCCTTCACAGATAAAGAAAAGGAATTTGCAGAGAGGCATGATCACATATAGTCTTAAAAGGACATGGTATTAAAAAAAAAAAAAAATGGAAAAGTTTTCAGATATAGAAATTCTCTTGACTTTGTGCCATACGATATGTTAAATAATAGTTTAGCAGACTATTATTTTTAGGAGGAATTGTATCTCAGCTGCGACTTCCAGGTTGACTTTTGAGGTCAGATGCAAGCCAAAATAAGGAAATTGATTTTGATTTGCTGAGCCAGCATAGGAAAGGAGACAGGAGAAAGGTTTCAGCGAGTTGATTCGTAACCATCAAACAATGTAGATATTTTCTTTCATGTCGGGAATGACCTCCCCCCCCCACTGGATCGATAGAACATGTCAACATGAACGTTAATAAAATAGTTAAGTTAAAATTCCCTGTGTTGAAGTTCTTTTACCTCTGAACCCAAAACATCTGGCCACAAGAAAGAATGCAACTTTATCAAATTGACGCTGTCGCCCACAACCTCCCAGCATGAGGGGGCTATACAACACATAGTTGTCTAGCAGAGCATCTGGATTTAGTGATATTTTTTTATATACTAATCTCCACTCAATACAAGGCCCAAGAGCCACTCAATGTAGGGGGTTACCGTGTGGTGTTGTATGAGCATAAGAAGAGGCAAGAAATGCATTTCATAAAGTTATGTCAGAAAGATAACGGTTAACCCTGGACTTGACGAAGTCAAGATTGTAGTGATCGCGAAAACATCTTGCCAGGAGTCTGTTCCACAAAGCAGCAGTTATTGGGGTAGAAGCTGTTTGAATGGAACTTACTCGTGAAATACAAAGGAAATGGGGATGATTCATCCTTGTGTAGCTGGCATGGTGGGTCCAGTTGCAAAGTTCAGAGCTGGTTGAACCAAGGAATGTAACTTGTAAGCACTCATGCCATTGAAATAACTAAAGTCACAATAGGCTTGCAACATTTTCTCTAAGGGAAATGGGTTGTAGCGGGGAGGGGAAGAAATAATTCAATAGATTTGATGTGTCAGCTGTTAAAAATGTGGTGTAGCGTTCCTATATTTATACTGCATTTTTATTGTTGTATTATAATCTATATTGAATAAGTTAAATCAGTTCAGCAAACATGAGTTTTAAGTGGGAATGCTGGTGGTGGGGTACAGTCAGATGGGAGACAGTAAAATTAGGTAGGTTGACTTAATCATTGCATTAAGTGTTCAAATTTTATAACTGATGTGTAGCTGAAAATTTGTTTTGGAACTTTTATGTAAAGTTTCTTTTTTCTTTTTTTTTGTTATTTCATTTCAAAATTTTTCTATTGGGTCAAGTTAAATAATTTCTGTTTTTGGGAACAACTCTAATGACAAATGTATAGTCTTAATTATTAGGCCAAGTCATAAATAATTTACCTTTGTGGGAACCAGATCTAATGACTAATGTATCATCTTAATTATTAGGCCAAGTCATAAATAATTTACCTTTGTGGGAACCAGATCTAATGACTAATGTATCATCTTAATTATTAGGCCGAGTCATAAATAATTTCCGCTTTGGGGAACCAACTTTAATGAAGAATGAATCTTCCTATATATTCATTGTGCGTGACAGTTAAGAATAAATTTAGAGTACACTGATAGATATATTTTTTTTTTCTTTAAGTGTTTCACCCCAAGCAAGGCAGGAGTGCCAATAGTATGCCGGGGGTGTACAGAGAGTGAAAATAAGAGAAAAGACTGGGTATGGAGAGGATTGTGGAAAGGATAAAAAGAAGAACAGGGAGCAAGACATCAGAAGATGACGATTGATGTTGCATTTAAATTTTTGAAGATTGTCGTTATCAGGGAAACAAGAGGAAAGGTGTTCCACAGTCGGGAATTGCGAGAGAAGTAGCTGTTGGAGTAGAAGTATCAATTACATTTAACTGTTTCAACAGTAAAAGGGTGGGACCTAGATGCTAACCTAGTAGCACGCTAAAATTCATGTAGTCATTTATTAACTTTTTCAATTGCAGCAAAACATTTTGGCGGGGAAAATTATTCTACTGAAAAACAGATTCAAGAGTTCATCAAAAACATTTTTACATCAAAACCTGCAGAATTTTACTCAAAATGTATTGAAGAGCTGCCTGATAAGTGACAAATGTCATTGCGAATAATGATGAATATATAATTGAATAAAATGTATTAGGTTGGTGCAAAAATAATGACGTAAGAATGTCGTTTTTTAACGTTAAAAAAATACGTCAAAAAACAACATTATTACGTCATTATTTTTGCACCAACCTAATAATTGTATTTTATTTTTAAAGAATAAAGTTGATAAAGAAAAAACGGAAATTATATATGACTCAACCTAATAAATCTTTTCTCAAATGTTTTTCTTTTTAATTTTACTTATAACAACAGTCTCCATAAAGAAGTTAATTTTCTCAAAGAACATTAAAAAGAATTTCCCTGCAAAATGCATGAAAAATATTTTATAGTAAAATATTTACATGCTTTGGAACATACAAAATGCTTGTAAGAAATATTTAATATACCAATAAGTCATTGTAAACAATGGTGAATATATAATTCAATAAAATGTAATAGTACTTTATTTTTTGAAGGATAATGTTAATAAAACAAAAACAGAAATTGTCTATGACTCAACCTAATGTAATTAATTTTAAACTGAATTATTCAATTAAATGGGGGTGCATCAGTAAGTTTACTGACTGAAGAAGAAACATTTATTTTACACATTTAGTTTACAACATAATATCCTTCCTTGCCAATCTGAATCTTTTATTACATATTGTTTTATTAATTTAATGTTTTATCGCTTTAATATTTTTAAATTTTATATATTAAATTTTATTTATTTTAAACTTTTTTCTTCATTTATTTTTATTAAATTTTATTAATTTATCTGAAACTTAAATATCAATTTATACATCAGAATTAAGTGTAGACATTTGCTGGATAAGTTTAAGTTTGTTGCATTAAAAGCACACCCAATGAGAAAAAAATATTAGTAAGGATTTTCAACATTAATTTGCTCACTATCTTTGGTAGATACGCTTTAAAAATTTTGTGACTATCAAGTGTTCTTGCAGTCATGTTTCTAATAGTTTAGTAGACTATTATTTTGAGGGGGGGGATAGTGTCTCTGGTTGACCTTTGAGGTCAGATGGAAGACAAAACAAGGAAGTCTATTTTGATTGGCTGAGCCAGCATGGGAATGAGAAATATAGAAAGGGTTTTCAGCAAGTTGTTTCTTAATCGTCAAACAATATAGACAGGTTTCCTTTCATGTCTGGAACTGTTCCCCAGTGGAGTGAGAGAGTGACCCCCTGGATAGTTAGAAGATACATTGACATTAATAAAATAATTAAGTAAAATTCTCTGTGTTGAAGTTCTTTTATCTCTGGACTAAAAACAACTAGCAATCATTGGTCGCAAAAGAATGCAACATATAAGTGAATCAATGCTGTTGACCAAGACCACCCCCACACAGCATGTTGAACTAAAATGTACTTTTCTTTATTAATTTTTCATTCAGGACTATAGGAAAATTACAGATTTTAGAAGATGCTAATTGTAAACTTGAGCCTAATATTTTTTATGTCATATTTATTATATACTTATAAAGCTGAATTAAAATGATGACTTTCCGAAATAACATATTTTAGGAATTCCTTTTTTGTCTGTGAAATTGTATTGTTATGGATTGGATTATTAAAATAAATAATTCAGACGGTACTTACTTCATCCACCCACTTAATGGCACGGACCATTTTGTAACGTTCCTTTTCACTGAAGACTGGTGGTCCTTTGTGCTTGGCAATTTCATCTGAAAAGTAATCAAAGACAAATTAAGTAACTACTTAGAACCTGTGGAGTTTTAAAATTGTAACACTATGAGATTTATATTACATTACCATACATACATACATACAATAGACTGAAAGTTTCAGGTCACCCTCTGGATTAAATAATTAGCAAGTTTCAAACCTTCTTTGGTTTAATTAAATCCTACTAAGCTAGGATCCATTTTTTTTAAACAGAGGGTCTTTACCTAAAATTTTAAATCTGCAAGCCCCCTATCATGAGACAGCAATGTAGAGTAGGCCAAAAAAGTTAAAACGTTAAATAAACTTTATGCAGTAATGTGTTAATTTTGTTACTATTATTATTAAATACGTGATAAAACCCTTCAGAAATAGAAAGTCCCTCTGGCCTGAAGTGAGCTAGTGAATTATTTTTGAGCAAGACACACCTTCAAATTTTTAGGCGATTTTTAAAAAAATTTAAATTGTTTTTTTATGACTTTTGTAGGTTATTTAAAGCCAGAAAATATTTTAGATTGTAAGAATCTTTTTGAGATTACAATGATTAAGTGATACAAGTTCTACTAATTAACCCATAGCTGGGGGAGAAGAGGTGGATTCATAAATTTTCCAAGGGTATTTGTGTATAAGTGAATATAACAAATATGATTGGAATTCAAACTCAACTCTTTAATTTCTAATTCCGAACCTCTATCCATTATATAGGTTGGGTTAAAACTAAAAAATAACAAATGATGACTTTTTTTATTTTTTTAATTAAATGAAAATTTTCTTGATAATTCAAGAGGTATTTTTCTGGCCACATCATTGTAGAGTTGAGCAAACGGTCTCATTATAAAAACAGGACTCCTAAAAGCGATATCACCACATCTAAATTGAAGCACCAGTTACAACATGAACAATATAAATGAGAATCCCTGAAGCACTGTTGTGTCGGAAACCTACCACCCCTCTTGAAGATGAACTTGTCGGCGAGCAAAGACGTTAAATAGTGGCATGTCAAAAGACAGACGAAGACAGTGAAGTTCTTGGCTGAGCTAGTTATAGACTACGCAGGCGATTTCTGTACCTACTTACCAACCTAATAAACCCCTTTTTATTGTTACATGTTATTTGGCGTTTGTCTTTACTAACCCCGAATCAACATCATAACAAGCACAGAGTTAGTTGTATATTTTCTTTCTTCTCTTCCATGTTTATGAATATTAAAAAACATTCTGGACTGGATCCAGACCCACAGTCCTGAAATTTTGGATTCCCAAGTTTTCATTACTGTGATCGTTTTTGGATTCTGCCATCTTGGCTTCTACTGATAAAAACAATTAAAAAGGGACACAACTCTCTAACTTTCAATAGCTGATGTTCAAATGAAAAAAAATGACTGTTCTCAAAATACAGTGTTTCAAAATAAAATTGTCAGTGTTTTCAACTTTACTCCTAGAGGCCATAGTCTAAAATATCATACCATTTTGGAATCAGGCCAACTCTGTAAGCAAATTATCCAGGCCCGCAATTTTGAAATTTTGGATTCCCAAGTTTTCATTACTGTGATTGTTTCTGGTGATTTTGTGTGACAAATTTTTTTGTACGATAATTTTTATAACTTGAGAATAAATTTGGGAATAATCAAAATTGCCAAATCCAGCAAAAGTCACCCATGAAATAAAAATAATTGTTTGTACGGAAAGTAAGGACCTACGTACATCAATTTGTCTTTAAATTAAGTGGCAGCAGAAGAATTATTGTTGAAGGTAAGTTTAAATATTAACACAATACTTAAATACAATGATCAATTTTGAATTCTTCTGTAGTTTATGATTGCCTATCACATCTACTCCTCCCTATTTATTGTGATGAAGGTCAAGAGCCCTTCACAGGAGCTAGCTTAAATGCTGCCATATAGGGCAGCTTTTAAGCTAGTCAGAATATATGTACCCTATGAACTCTATGACCAAACATAAAAGTGCATAAATGGTGCCTCCCTTAGCCACAAAATGAAGACAGAGATCCTTTTATTCATATTTTATTACAGAATGAATCCTGAACTTATATTGGGAGAAAACTGAATGGAGTAGGCACACAAAAACAGAAAAGGGGCATCAGATAAGGATGTGCCCAACCTCTACAGCAAAGCTATCAGGATTTATTATCAGTGTGTGTAACTTTACCAATATAAGCTACTCAGATGACACTGTATTGATGACCGACACAAAGAAAACTACAGGACCTCCTAGACACAGTAATAATAATAATAATAAAAAAAAACTACTAGCCATCAAGTGCAAGATGACAGAAATTATGGTCATCATCAAGAGAAAATGTTCAAAATATGAACTATGAATTCAATAATGACATCAAACAAATACAGAAGTTTAAATATCTGAGAAGTGTTTTAACAGAGGATGAAAAAGGCAACACACATTGGAAAATGCCTTCCAAAAGCTAAGCAATGTAATAAGAAACAGAAACATTTAATTCGTGTGTTGTAGAGTAGTTTTTACAGTGGAAGTTTGTATTTTCAACTAAGTCGTCCTAAATTAGGTTCGACGTACAAAACGTTAGGAACTTGAAATAAGAGTTAATGACGCAGCAATCTAGTTGTGATGGTTGATACTTCAATGCCTGACATCGACTGACTCACTCAACACCACTGAGCCCAACTGGCGGCCACTACTACTACTACTTATTATGTGTGGTAGAGTCTATTAATAATTAAAATAGGTATGTTCAGGTATGACAATCAGAAACAAAGAAAAGAGTGCTGAACTGCTATGTGATATCAGTTCTCCTGTATAGCAGTGATAAGAGAAAATGGGAAGCAACAGAAATGTTGTTCTTTCCCGCAATCTATCCTGTAAGTATCAGATTTTCCAAGCCTTCATTCCTCATTACGTGCCTAAGAAATTTCAACTACCTCTTCCTGATGTTAAGTATAAGTTTCCTTTTTGCTTCTATTTTCTCTAAAACACTGCCGTTGCTCACATGTTCAGTCCATCGTATTCTCAGCAACCTTCTGTAGAACCACATTTCTTTTGCTTCAAGTCTCTTACAAATCACAAATTCAGATATTTGATAAATATGCACATACAACTTTTGCCTACTTGTGAGCTAAGAGAGTGGTTTACTGGATTTTCTTGTGTATAATACGCACGTGTTTCTGAAGCTAAAAACGGAATAAATTACATCCTTGAGTATAAATACAACCCCTAGCACAGTCTTCCCTATGTACATTTTTTTTTTTTTAAATTGTACCATATTTCTGAGATAAGGTGGTATTTTAACTATTTACACTATTTACATTGTTCAGAATGTTGTCCTCATCTTTATTGTCATATTCATCTTCAACATCTTTCTGAGATGAGGTATTTTAACTATTTATACTATTTACATTATTTAAACTGTTGTCCTCATCTTTATTGTCATATTCACAATGTTTCAGCCTTCTTCAGGTGATATTTGTTGGAATTCTTAACTGAACCCTTTATTTAGTTCACTAGGGGACATTGTTTTTAATTCCATGTGCCATGACTTTCAGATATCTCAGTTTCAGTTAAGTGGACTAAACTAAGGGTTTGGTTCAAAATTCCAACATTTATCAAATGAAGAAGGGCGGAGTATACAACAGCCAAAATGTTTTGAATATGGCAATAAAGATGAGGACAACAGTCCAAAAACGTCATATATATATATATATATATATATATATATATATATATATATATATATATATATATGAATTGTATTGTAATTATGATTCCAATGTAATAAATCATAACCATGGAATATTAGTGTTTGAGTTTTTTTTTATTATATATATATATAAACAGTTAAAATATAATCCTTGAAAATGGCTAAATGTATAGCCGAAAGTGCTCGGATAAAAAGAACATTCGGACAGTTTTTATATAATTTATCAGCCGAAAAGAAAAAATTATTAGAACGCATGAGAAATTGTATAAAAAAACTAAATAAAAGCTCCTTGTCTGTCGTTTTCAATGAAATGTGCATGAAAGAAGAATTGCTGCCTAAATACACAAATATATTATATTATATATATATATATATTACATAAAATATTTAATTTTTCACAATATTAAAGTATAGAAATGAACTGAATTTTTAGCCATTTTGAGTTTCTTCTAATTTTCATTTTAAAACTTATTTTCAAATTTTGGGAGAAAGGTGCTAACTAGACATACCCAGTAATACATTTTAAGATGTTAATTAATCTATCATGCTTTTCTGTTTGATAAGACTTTATTATATTTCTGTATATTAATAAACTATGAAAATAAAATATGTTGACTTTTATTAAGAATGAAGAGAGAAAACTTTATAGAAAAACAAGAAAATCGAAATATAAACAAACATTATCTTGTGATCAAAACTAAATTCTAAATATTAAGCTGATTCCCAAAGAACAAATATTGCCAACATATCAAATACTTTTTGTAAACAATTGTTATCAACACCTGTCTACTTTGTCTTTTATTATCTGTTGTGCTGAGTGTATTTACAATGTTGCTGTTTTAAATAAGAGGGTTTTTAAGGTGAGTAAAAAATTCTGAAAATGTGTACATGTGTATAATACGACTGCCTTTTTTGCCTTTAATCTTTAGTGAGTTTTAAAACGACTTATTTTCTTTTCTAAATATTACCCAATTTGTAGCTGGGAACTGAGTACTAATAGTGACTGGAGTTAAACAAGTCTTCTTACTTTAGTTGATACGACTGCAGGTGAATTTTTTTTTTTTTTTACTACAACAATACATCAAGATAAAAAATATTGCACTGGAGGTAAATGAAATGTGGTTGAGAATACCATAGGCTTAACATGTGAGTAATGAGGAAGTTTTAAAGGAAAATGGTGAAAAAAAAAAAAAAAAAAGGACACTTATACTTAGAATCAAAAAGAGAGTGAAAATTTCTAGGACACTTAATGAGGAAAGAGAGCTTGCAGAATTTGGCACTCACAGGATATAATGAAGGCAAGAGAAGCAGAAGAAAATATTGAGTAATCTAATTAAGCAATTTGTGGAAATAGAACAGGGACTGGTATGGATGGTAAAACAAACATTCCTAAGAACTACAAAGGAAAGGAAATTGTGCCCATGATGTGAGATAAACGTGGCATATAGAGGAAGAAAAAGATTGACAAAAAAAAAAAAAAAAAAAAATGCAAGTCTTTCTAGAAAATCAATTGTCATTGAATTTCCTCCCCTTTTTTTTAACGTTAAAACAGAATGTGTGTGTAATATAAAAAGAAAGACGAAATACTTACCATCTGAGTGAACACCAACAATTAAATAATCACCCTTTTGTTTAGCCTGAAGAATAAAAATATTAATTGAAAATCATTAAAATCTATAAACTAATAAAAAGAATGTATTCTACTTGGTATAACCAGTTTTGATGAATGAAGGTAAGATTTTATACAGACAAAAATTGTTGTTCAATTTCAATAAGAAATAGATACAAAAATTGAATGAAGTTACAATTTTATTTAAGAAACAAATTGCTCAGTTGCAAAGGTTAAGTGCCCTACTTTTTTTTTTCTACAAGTAATAATGGAATCTGTATTCATTGACCATGTATGAAAAAGATATCTGATTAAAGCAACAGTTCAATACCAACAATTACCAGCTGTTGGTAAATATACTGGAAAAAGCTGATTAACAATGTTGTATCAAAAAACTCAATAGTGAAAGATGTGAAAGTGATTAAATTAGTTATTCAGTACACAAAAGCAGACTGGAAAAGCTTCAGATCTTACACAGCAGAAACTCAGCCTTCTTCAAATATACTACCTCCAAAGCTGCTGCTCTCATCTCAGCACAAATCCTTTCTGGAATGGAGATTTTATACCCCAGAAAGAATTCCAGCAAAAACCAAACAGCCAGCCCTGTTTCAAGCCTGAATGAGCTACAGATATAACTCATTGTAACCACTTGCTGCATTCAGAACTACCCACAATCAATCCAGGAAGGTTTTAGAAAATGCAAAGTGTAGCTATGCACAAGCAATCCAGGTTGAAAGCAATCAAATTGGACCATGAGAGTTCTGGAAGGTCTACAACAAAATTCTAAATAGAGGCAAAGTGTCAGTTCCTACTATTATAAATAGCCCTAAGGTCATCTCATACTCATCAGATAAGGCAAAATCTCTTCACCTTGATCTTTGCCTCTAACTAAACATTAGGTGACAAAGTCCATCCCCTTTCTGATTTCTCAGTAATATTTTTTTTATTACAACCCAGGAAGTTTCAAGACTTATCAAAAGTCTTGACCCTAGGAAGGCTAATGGTCCAGACAAAATCCCTGTTGTTGTCCTTAAGAACATTAACCCAGAGTAATCCCATATTTTAGTGAAATTATTTAACCACTGCTTGAAGGAGAAATCCTTCCAAAGTCAGTGGAAGATGTCAAGTGTATTCAGTGTTTTCAAGAATACAAGTGAATACTCACCCTTCTCACAATATAGACCCCTAAGTCTCCTCAATGTCAGTTGCAAGCTTTTTGAGGCTATAATCAACAAGAAGGGTGTTGATCAACTCAATAGGAACAACCGCTTGAATGACAAAAACTTTGGGTTTTGATCAGTCTGGTCCACTGCTGATATCCTTACTACCGTTACCCACAGAATCAATGAGAAACTAGACAATAAATACATTTCAAGGACGATCACATTAGATATTTCAAAGGCCTTTGACAAAGTATGACATAAAGGGTTAATGCACATGCTCTGTAGCTATGGAATCACTGGAAGAGTCGTCTCAATTATAAAGTTTTTCTAATGAATAGATCCCTGAAGGTAGTTGTTAACAGCCAGTCTTCTGAAGCCCAAGAAATCAAGACAGGCATCCCCCAAGGTGTACTTCTTGTCCAACCCTCTATTTTACATAAATGATCTGCGTAAGAGTATACCTGATCATTTGTGAATATCTATGCTGATGATGCAACGGTATATGGGTATACTTCCAAAACTCTAGATGACCAGAGTTTGGCAGCTGATCTCTCCTCTAACTGAGCTTTAACAGCTCAGTGGGGAAAAAATGCCTTGAAAACCAAACTAGTGACATTCAATCATTGCTGATTGAACCGAAAACTTTCACCAAATGCAATGAACAAATGTTACCTTAGGGAGGCCTGTGCCTTGAGCACCTGTTGGGACTTCAACTTGAGGTCTGGGTTAAGTTTAACTAGGGCTTAATCCATCGCAAAGTGCTGGAAAAATTATTGGTTCCCTGTAGTGCTCCAGTAAGTACCTGATACCTCCAACTATCGACTAGCTTTATAAGAGCCAGATCAGGTTGAAAATGGAGTTACTGCTGCCATATATAGGCAGGAGCTGCCCAGTATTCAATTTCTTTTCCAAAAAATTCAAAAGTGTCTCCACGTCCTTGTGGGTGATGTATTATTTCCCACCCTATAACCCCTTTCTCAGAGACAAAATGTCACAAGACTCTTGCTGCTCTATCACTATTTCCACAGAAAGTGTTCAGATGAAATACATTTCTTAGTTCCACCAGTTTTAACCTTCACAAATAAGACCCGTCATACCATGCACATTATAGCAAACCACTCTCATTCCCTCTGCATTCCATTGGTGAGATGAAAGTTCCACTCAAGCAGCTTTTTCCCCACAAACTGCCACTTTGTCAAACTGACTTCCAAGAGGATGTTTCCCCAATCACTAGTCTTAACCTGGTATGGCAGGTCTTAGCTGTGAAATCTAGGGTTAACTTCCTCATATATCTGTATAAACTATACCTTGAGTTTTGGGCCTTGAACTGAGTGAACATCATTGTAATAAAAAAATTAATTTTAATCTCAAAAAACAAACTAAATACTGATAAATGGGAACAAATTCTGATTACTTATAAAAATGTACCAATTCTAAGACAATAATTTTGATGGATGAAAGATAATGATTGTTAGGATTTTTCTAAGTTCTTCTTGGTTTGAATATCTAACAAAATTCAAATTCCTTTAATCTGTGATCCATAGAATTTTATGCTTACACTAACGACCATAGAATACTATCTGCACTGTTAATACAAGTGTTGCTAACAGAACAAAATTGTTATATGCATAATGTAAATGCAGTGATGTTGATTTTACTACAGAATGAATTGTTAATACTTTTTATTATAGAAATCAGGAAGAAAAGTCATTAAATATTGATATAAGCATTCAAAAGGTTCTAAGCGTCACCCAGAAAGAAGAGCCATTACTGAACACTACCACTTCTTATAAAATGAGAAAAACTAATTCAGATCTAAGTCTTAATTTCTCAGCAGATGAGGCCCATACAAAGGTGAGAAGTGTGTGACAAATTTAAAAATAGACAAAACAGAGGCCCAAGCAGTCAAAGTATCTGCATAAGGACATGATACAAACACTTGCTGAGGACTCCCCTTTCCTATGCAACTGGGAAGAAGTGGGATGAAAGATTCAAACGGGGATGAGACAGCACAGAAGATGACCCTTGGCCAGGTCATCCAAAAACCACTGATGAACATGTTGGTGTCATTCATCATATAGTTTTGGATGACAGACATCTTACTATCAAGCAGATAGATAAGTCCACAGGCATTAGTTCTGTTTCAGTCCAAACAGGTTTTGGAAATAAACAAGCTGTTTGCAAGATTGGCCCCAGGAATGCTGACACCATAGCAGAAGCTAAAAAGGGTTGACATTTCCAGGACACTTCTGACTTTCAAACTGACCGTGAGAATTGGCATTGCAGATTAGTAATTAAAGATGAAACCGGAGTTCACAACTTTGAACCTGAATTAAAGATTCAAAGCAAAATGGTGCAAATGACCATTTCTCCACCCCCAAAGAAGTTCAAGCAGGTAGTGTCTGTTGGCAAGGTGATGGCTTCTATTTTTTGAGATTCTAAAAGCATAATCATGATGGACTACCTGGGAAAGGGAAAAACTATTAATGGACAGTACTATGCATCAGAATTAATACAATTGAAGGAAGCAATCAAGTTGAAATAAAGAGGGAGGCTGAGGGCAGATGTGCACTTGCTCCAGGAAAATGTGCCCATTCATACTGCTCAGGTTGCAGTAGCTGAAAGCAGCCAAATGTGGCTTTGAATTGCTACACCATCCCCCTTACTCACCAGACTTAACTCCATATGTCTTCTTCCGGTTTCCTAAACTCAAATCCCACCTGCGTGTTTGCCATTTTGGAAACAATGATAAGATCATATGTGCTATGGAGAAATTTTTGGAGGACCTGCATGCCACCTTCTTCTTTGATGGGATTGCAATGCTTAAACATCATTGGACCAAGTGCATTAATGTCAAGAAGGACTATATTGAAAAATAGTGAAAAACTATCTTGTTTCTCTAACTCCTGGATGAGACTTAGAACTTTTTTTTAACAACTCTTTTAAAGCTTTTATTTGCACACTATGCCAGATTTTATTATGCAAGTCAATATTTTCACAATAAAATTGATATTAATCAAGTAAGATTGATAGAATCTTCAGAATACATTTATATGATAGACATATATGAATTTCGGTTTATATGTTTTTAGAAATATATACAATTATTTATTTCATAGTATAAGATTTTATAATATATATATCAAAGGTTGTTCTTCAAATTGTAAATAAATTTACATGATAGTTGTTATTTGAATAAGTTTATCTTAAAAGATATAATTACTTAACCTGTGGTACTGAGGCCTCAGGGAGTTAATCAGAAAAAGAAAAAAAAAAAAAGAGGAAAAAGACTTAAATGGATGATAATTATTGAAATTCTCAGGAAAGTGGATTGAAAAGTTGAGAACATTAAAAACAAAATGCATTAAAAATTATGTTTTAAAATAATAAGATGAAATCAAAAACACTTCCAAAAAGAATCAAACCCAAATTTAACTAGATGGAATTCAGTAAAATTGAGCAAAACCAAGATCACCAAATCTTCCCCACTTCACACCAATAAGAAAGAAATAATGTATCATCAGAGATGTCAGTCCTGGGAAAATGGAAAAACGTGTTTCCAATATCTTATCTTAAATGGGTTATTTACTTCATCAGCAATCTTCTCACCCTCTGAGATCAAAACAATGTGGCAGAGGAGTGAATGGTTGTGAGGAGATGAATGCCAGCTAGATCAAGTGGAACCATGTTCATCATCATGATACCAGCAACAAACCAGCAATGCGTTAACAAGTGAGGAGTCAGCTAAATGGTAATCATGGTAATCTGAAGGTACCTGAAGGAGGAACTGAGAGGGTTACAAACCATGCTACTACAGGCTTACCTCTGATCTTCAGGTGGGTTTGGTTAAATCAAGATCCAAGAG